CAATAATTTCACTGTTTCCTTTAAGGGTTAAGAGGGTAATTAATCGTCACTTGCTCGGAATAGTCATCATCTGAATAAAAAACCTGAGGCCGACGTTACCCTCATTTTATCCTCCCTCCCACACCTCTCTCCCTCTCCACCAGTGTTCCGTTTAGTTTTACGGGTATTTCAGTTCCTACACGGAGAGGACAGACGTCAAACAAGGATCGGAAGTCATAAATGGGAATCGAACTCAGGACCTCTAGCATAGAAGGCCTGGCACTAACCAACATGAACTAAGCTGAATCCTTGCTCCTGCGCTCGAAAAACGTTTGCTTAAGTTCTTTTTCACTTTCCTAAAAAAGTGAGTTTTTTTCTCCTTTCCCTTACAAATCGAAAAAAAATTTCCATGGTCGGCACTCAAGTGAAACCACGATCAGCAAACGAATGGTTTCACTGCAAATTTTTGAACGTTTTCGCGTCATTTCTATGATCGATAAGAGTATGGAACATGGAAATTTATTGTCGATTTGTCTTGTACAATAACATTAAGAGTCTTTGACGTCCACTCGTTAAATAATTCTCCACAAACTGCGCGCAAGAGAAAGAGAAAAACAAATTGCGCCACCGTCACTTAATTTCCATCACGTCGGACCATTGGCATAGTTTTGGTGAAGCATCATAGAAATATATTTGCGCAAGGGAAAATCTTATAAAAAAAATTCATGCAGGCCGAGTACCCCCCAAAAATATTCCCGCTCTGGCCTAAAAAAATTCAAGCAAAGGGAAATGTTCACGAAAAAAAATTGATGTGGTTCGAAAATTCCCCATCCACTCTCCCCAACCTCATAATTATTCTAATGGTCCGTCCGTTATCGACGGTTATCGACCATAGCTCTCGACCAATCAGCACAAAAAATCGCTCAGTTACCGTAAAATCCTTCCTCCCCACCCGTTAAAAGGCCCCTTGCAGACATTTACCTGACTTTTCTAAGAGCAGAGCATGATTCATCCAGGCACCCACATGATCGTTTTTTAAATTGATGGCTGTTTTAAATGCGGCAATGGCTTTTACAGTTTTGTCTTGATCGATGTACTGGAGGAGAAGATTTTAAGGTCAGTATAAATACGCATGGAAAAGCAATGAATGGGAAACTATCCAGGGTTCACGTAAAAGGATTATATCATTGTATCTGCACTGCTTGCACTGTGCATTTTGAACGTTTAAAAACTATTGTCCTTTTTTTCTTACCAGATTTCCAAGGTTGAAAAAAGCGTCTGGATATCTTGGTCTGTATTTTATAGCGTTGCTGTAGCATTTTTCGGCTTCCTAAGAAACAAATTTTGTAGGATCAGAGAGTTCGAAGTTGTGCGGAAGAAATAATCGTGCAGAGAGAATCAAAGGAAAGAAATAGGAATAACTGGCACAAGACGAGGCACAAGTTCGATTTGAGTATACCCTTAATTCTCTCTCTGCTAGATTGACTCACCACCACCTGCGCGCCTGGCCGCTCTCCGGTTGTTACACAGAAAAATAAAGCTTGCTGGAAGGTCAAATCGTAATCAATAATTTGTGGAAACATGAATAAAGCTATCAAACTCACATCTTTATGCAATGCTGCCTTTACGGTGCCTAAGTTCATCCAGCCCGCCGCAAAGTTATTCCTATACACAAGAATGACGGCGTTAATAAGTTATCTCAGACCCGGGGGGGGGGGGGAATACTCCCTTATATAAGCTATATAGGTATGTGCCATCTCAGCAAAAAAGCAAGACATTAGAGTTTTAGATCCGAGTTTACCGCGAACCTCTAACCGCGGCTTGCGGTTACCCGTTTTCGATTTAGATTGACGGTGGATTAAATTACGGCCGCCATTTTGAATCAGCAGCCATGAATGGCACTTGTTTTCAAGATCCAATAGGATTTACAAAATTTAACATTTCGCCCGAATTTGTGTCTCTCTTAATGGATAAGACTTGCTCCACAAGATTTTTGTATCAATACGTTGGATGAAACAAGAATTATACGCTAAAAGCTTTCAGGTAAATGACATACGTGAAAACCTACCTCCCTACGTTGAAAACGCACGTCGTAAACCTCAAACGTGACGCAAAAGACTTGTCACGTGACCTCCAGCGCTTAGAGGTTCGCGGTAAACTCGGATGCAAACTCTCTATTGGGACTTTAGACATCTTCCTGTTTTACATTATATTTACATTATTTAGGAAATGTGATTTGAAATAAACGCCACCCTTGAATAATCGCCGCATCGAAAAGGCTTAAACTTTAACAAAGGCCGCAGCGTTTAATCGAAAAATACGGTATTAAATCAAATTCCACTAATGACACCGATCGTATCGTTGTTGGCCTCTCTATTAGCTTTTCAACAATGAACAGGCAAAGTTGGGGATTCTGGCCTTCTGGGCCAATGCATTTTGGCGATCCGAGACGAAAGAACCACGTGACCTGAAACGTACAGGCCGCGCGGAATAATGAGGCTACAGTTCGGCAAGGTTCTAGTAAGTACTCGCGCGAACACGATCTCGCGCACCTTGTACAATGTACGGGTCTCAAATAGGGACCTTTGGATAACACTTCGAGTTTTTAAACCAAAATCGTGTGCATCATACAATTACTTACCACACCAATCTGAACCCTATAGTTTACTAATGTACTAGTCAGCAACAGGGAAGATTTATAGCCGGAGGATATAATTACCTCAAAATTCCTAAGTCGTAACTTTCTCATAGTCAATTGGGGGGATAGGGAGGTCCAAACCTGCCAACTCCTGTACCTTGCGTTCCCGGCTCCTGCCCCTTTTTTTCTTGGCTTTCTCCCACCAGCTCTTTTTTCGATTACGAAAGATTGAGTATTGTTGCATAATTTCCCCATATTTTCCCCTCCCCGCCCTTTAAAACACCCACTTCCCACTCTTTCCTCTCCCGCCTCCCGTACCCCTTCTGTCCCCTAATTCTCCAGGCTCCCACCCCCTGTCCTCCCCCGTTAGTCAAATGTTGAGGTCACTAATGCGTTTAGAACTTCAAGTGACTTCAAATTAGAGAGAAAAACGCTTAAGTATAACATTGCAAAAAGACTAACCTTATTTCGACAGCTTTTTCTAACAGTGCTTCAGCTTCTATATATCTTCCATCATCCTTAAAAAACATGTTTTTTACACTAAAATTTTAAAATTAACTCATTTCAAGTCTACAAATAAATTACAACTTCAGACAGCAATTTTGCAAAACCAAGAAATAGCCTCCTTCTTCTAAAGGCAACGCGAGTAAATCGTGATTATTACAGAGCGATCTAAAAAGTTCCAAAAGTTCTGAATTTTTTTCAGGCTTCTTACGCAATTGCATAAATTGCGTTCATAACTGCGAGGACCACTCTTCATTTGATTTAGTTTCCGCAGTTCTTATATGATTTATTTCACATACATCTATCTCATTCATCTCTTGAACACACAATTGACTAGCTCCCAACATCAGTGGCTTCACAGTTCAGTTGGTTAGAGCATCGCACCAGTATCACCAGGTCACGGGTTCAAATCCCGTTGAAGTCCTGAATTTTTTCAGGCTTCTTACGCAATTGCATAAATTGCGTTCATAACTGCGAGGATCATTCTTCATTTGTTGAATGGAAAACTTTTCAAAAAAGGACAACCTCGCGAGTTGTACCCAGTTTTTTGGTTGAATCGATCGCCTTCGATCATTAGTAGCTTTTCGGGTTTTAGATGAGTTTCCTATTTGTTTTTTCTCATTTCATTTTGGTCGAATAGAAAGGGCCGAAAAATCAAAAAGCTAGAGAATCCATTCTTTTTGCAGGGTTTGTATCCCAAGAAAATCATTCTGTAGTCACCTCCTACGATTGACTTGCTGCGATGCAAAAATCCGCCATGGGGTCTTTTTAGCGATCATTACAATGACAAATATGAGCTTGGTGTGATCTTGCTTCTCGCCAGAGGATCATTTTTGAAAGGAATCTTTATTGAAATGTTCACTGCCACAAAAACTAAGTACGCATATTTTGGAGTATTCACATGTTTACTACCTCTCCGTTATTGAACGTCTCATGTGCGTCAAAAATAAAATACATGTACGTAACATGCTGTACAAGGACGTCATACCTTGATAAGGTTTCCCAAATTGTTTAAAGCTTGATCGTATGTTGGGTTTAACCTGCCATTCAAGGGAATTAAAATCGGTTGATATCATTCTAGTCTTTTTTTTTTCAGACATGCACTGTTGAAGGTAGTGATTAATTGTCGTAGAACCTGCATGCTTTAGAACAACAAAACTTTACTAGAAATACGCGAATCGCATAACCTCGCGCAGCAAGGGGGAAAATTAAGGGAAAAAAGCCATTAGGGTAGAGAAAATATATGAAAAAATGCAAACAAAACAAAACAAAAAGAAAGGAAAAGAAAAACGAGCTCTTCCAAGAATCAAGCACAGTACATCCTTTGTATTGGCGCAATTCTATACGGTACGTGAGGATATGTCCAATCTGAAATAAATATTTCTTTAAAACATTACCCGTGGAACTTCCGCAGGCAAGGGCCGTTCCCGAAACCTTTTCATGCTTGGATAAAACTGCAGGCTATTTTTTTTATTGTTAAAAACACTCAAACGAAACTTCATTTAAGTACAGGGAAGAACTATCATTTGACTCGACGTCAATTAACAAGAAATAAACCAGTACAATGAGTGTTTATCATTTCTCACTGATTTCTACACGGTACCTGATTGCTTCTCTATAAAACTTCTCAGCAATCACTGCCTGTCCTTTTTCAGCTCTCAGCTTGCCAATGTTGTAGTGAACCTGTTGAAGGGACAAAAATGATCATAAATATACTAACGTCTAAAAGAGCTACAGCGAAATTCTCTCATGCGCAACCAAGTCAAAATGCCAGGAATAGGTGGTTACAGGGAACAGGGGCTAGTTCACGCTATTTGCTATTCTTTCAAAAAAAAAAAAAAGCAAATAAACGTTTTTCGCATCAATTGAATTGCAAAATTAACTATGTCCCGTTTTGTTGTTTAAGACTATATTAAGGCATCAAAGCTGTTTCCTGTCGTCTGTTTTCAAGTTTTAATGACATGCCCGCGAGAATCACCAAAACAAATTACTACGGTTTGTGCCTCGTCATAATTTTAAAGAAGCATTTTGTGTATGGGAAACGGCACTAAGTAATTTTTTTTTTTGGCACTTTATTGGGGCAAAACTGCAATCACGAAAGAATTAACAAGAAGATATATGATTAAAGAAATAAAATAAAAATAATTAATTACAATCACAAGAATAATTAAAAAACAATTGCTGATCCCCAAAAGGAAAAGTGCAAACGGGACCCTAGACCCATGCAAGGCACCACCCTGTTGTTACTTACAATTACAATTTCAATTACAATGCTGATGAATAGCTTATTTTACCCTTGAAAAAAAATTAATTCAAAGCCTAGATGTATGTTAACAAAAAAAGTGAATAAAAAAATACAAGAAAGTGGATGTGGTAGGCACAGTCACTTTGACCTGTGACTTAAGCACAGAATTGTCCTTTCGTCCTGACACAACAGGGTCCAACAATATCCACCTGACATAGCCCCTTTTTCTGGAGGAGGTCACTTCCTAGAGTTTTCCACCTTGACTGGCAAGACTGATTACTAACAGTATTTTGCATAAATGGTCCCTTGTGGGAGGTCTTGCTAGCTGCAATCATGACTGTGAGAACATCCCTTCAGCTATTTCATTTACCTTGGCATTGAGTGGACAAACAGTGAGTCCAGAAGTGAATAAAGTGTCTTCATCAACCCATTCTGCGGATCTCTGAAAAAAGGAAGAAGGCAATATAAAAACAGCCACAACTCCAAGAACGTTTTCAGGCGAACACCAGAGGGACAAATCAACGTGTCTGTATTATGGAGAAGCTCATATTTTTTAAGCTTTCTACAGGGTTCTCTTTAAGTGCTGGCAACTGGCTAAAAAACTGACTAGGTTTGAGCCACGTACTTTTTGGGAAAAAGGGTAAAGCAAGGCCGAATGCAATGAAATTAACTACACAACTTGATTGCTAAGCCACCTACATTTACATCCTAGCTGTATACTTTAAAACTTACTGAGAACCCTGAGCTCAGTATCTTTTGACAGGGGGTGCCTGTATCATAGTAGTATCAGAACGGGAAAGAAGAACTGGCCCCCATGAAGATTTCTTAGGAATTTGCCACAAGTCCCTTGCATAACCTGGAAACGTCTGCATAGGAAGCAAGTCAAAGTAAATTATGTAATAACTTTTGGTACAGAATATAACACGGTGATATAGATGGCAAAAACATGGATGAAAGGGAGACTGCAATGCAATTACACCCTCAGTCTTTGATTGTCTAACGTTAGGCTTAATTCCAGGCACCCCTTTGATATGATAATCTGAGGCTCTACGAGCACAAGGGTCATTTTTCTTACCTGTACTGTTCGAGCCATGTACAAAGCTATCAGTGCACCAACAGTAAATCCTAAAACCTACAGGTGCAGGGCAGCAGAAAATATCAAATAATTAATTCTTGTCAGGGTGTTACACAGGGCGCAGAGGTGTTATTTGTCTCTTTATTATATCATACAGTGTAGCTGCTGTTATTCGTCCACAGTCATTACCTTCAGTGGTTTTGCGGAACATTGGATAATATTTAACCAGGTTTGTAAGACGATCGCATGATGGTTTGCTTGATTCCACAGTATAAAGTCAAAGGGAATGTGCGGTAACAACTGTAAAATTTAACTACAATCAACAACCAAGGTCACAAATAACTCTTCTGTGCCCTGTGCATGTTACACATGTATATTGCTATACACTGCTTATGCTGGTGAAGGTTTCGGCTCCTTACTGTGTGCCCAGCGTACCCTTCAACCCTTTAAGCCCCAATATCCACATACAAATTCTCCACACTGATACTCATACATTTACTTAGAGATACGTTGAGAGAGTTAAATAAAAGATCAAAGCATTTTCTCTTTGGTGATCATTTCATTAATTCTTGTAACCATTTCTCTTGACAACGTATGGATATCGTTAGGGGAAAATTGATGTTGGTCACCATTGGGAGGGTTAATCCATGTATTAGTAAGCAATGGGATGGTGCCTGGGTGGATACCATTGACAGGGTTGTCATGGTTACATGGTACACTCAGCTGCAGTTCTTGGCTCCATCAGCCTCTTAGGTACTTCCCCTCCTTGTGCTCCTCTTTTGTTGAGTTTAATTTAAAGGATAAATACTACCCATAATCTGCCTAATGGAGTGTTTCCCCTGCAGAAAAACAATCGCTTCCCTTAAGGTCAAGCCACATTGCTAAAAAGAGCATGGCACCTAAATAACATAAACGTACATGTAAGCAGTCTTAATTTCAAACCAGCATGTCTTTGAAGAGTGACAAGTGAATATATACTGGTATACATCATTCTGCTCACCTTTTTTCCAAAGTATTTCTTGCTTAGTGCGGCAAATCCAAGAACAGTGATCAGACAGGATCCAATACTGGAGAGATACAGCACCCTTTCAGCTACAACAAAACCAACTGTAAAGAAGATATTTGACGCTGGAAGGAATGGAACAACAAGGAGAGCAAGCCCCATGGTTAGATTCCTGAAAAAAAGAAGATAATCTCTCTTGTCAAACACAACAGATCCAGATGTCATGTGAATCAAAAGGCTATCATTAATGTTCATGCTAATGCAATGAACTGTAAACGCAATGTAGCAGATGTACATGCTGTTATCAAGCACAGAAAATTGATTCTTGCAAGACTGTATTATTTGAAGTTGCTATGATCTTGTTTGTAGAATTTAATAGACCACTTTATTTTTCCATCTCTCCCACACACATTGATAGTTCAGACGGGGCCCCATGACTGTTGGGGATCATGACTGCATTACGAGCCAAAAGAACGTCTGCTTGGGAGGCCTATTATTCCAACACATAGACAATTACTGCTTAGAGGAACAAAGCAAGAACCACAGGACCAAAGTACTGTTAAGTAAATGCATGTGAAACTTATAACAACCTATAGCTACAAGTTGAACAGTTGAGTAAAAAACAAGATGTTGATATATATTAGTCCAAGAATTCACTTCACATCACAAAATTGACTGGCTCAGCTTAATTAAGGCATTCTCCCTCCCTTGGTGTTTGTGCCAGATAAACATGAAAGTGATATACATATGTGCTGGTGGCCCACAACTACATGGTCTGCTATTAAATTTCTAATCAGAACAAAGTTTGTATTCAGTTTATACAATGCCAGAATGAAATATCACACCACATGAACTAAATTTGTATTGAAAACTGGAATGAACTCATTCCAGAATGGCTTGTGTAGGAATGAAATTTCATCTTTGTATCATTAAGTAAACATAATAATTATACAGAGTAATAAAGTTATTTAGATGGGACGCACTCATTTTAAAATTAAAGTATTCTGTGAATAGCCCCTAAAAGAACCTTACCGCTTTATTTGCAAATTCCTCCCACATAAACAGTACGCAAGAAGCAGGAGAAGCACAGTCCACAGGGCAACAATGCAGAGTATACGTGGATCACTATACGTGTTGATTATTGGCACACAACCCATTGACCAATCAAAACAAAGCCATTGAGGTACAAGGAGAAGCCAGGCATTAATGGCATAGAGATAGTTATAATTAATTATCTGTGAGTGGAAAAATAAAACAGCCATTGCAGTTGATTCACTTAAATGTAATTATAATAACATTAATTAGTGAACTAATGAGTCAGCAAACTACTGAAATTAAACCAGTAAATTTGTATCTTTCTGGCCTATGTATTTAAGAAGGATGTATGTCAAAAGGATTAATGCCTTAATTTATATTTTCACAACTGTGCTATAATCAATAATTTGGCAAAATGAGTTTCTGCAACAAATATAAATAAACTGAAGATATATTAACTGAAAATTCATCCAGTAAATGTTATTCGGAAATATGCATTCTTCTGTACTCACTCTCATAATAAGAGACTTCTCAAACGAGGTCGGATTGTCAACGACCTGGAACACTGGAGGTGAGGAACCCATGACATGCCATCGACATAGCAGAAGGAGGATACCAGTGACTAGTAAAGCGACTTGTCTAAAAATCAGGCCTTTCAGCCATGTAGTGGCTGCCTTTTTCTCCTACAAAGAATGTACAAGTCAGAATTTTAATCAACATTGATATTAACACCAAACCATATTTATTCCAAATAAACACCACCCCTGATTATGTACTGCCCTCAAATAAGCACTGCATTTAAGACAAAAGAGTTAATAAGTGCTGTCCCAGAATAAGCACTGCAGCCCCGATATAATCAAAATCAAAAGAAGTTATTTCTGTTAGCGTGATATGGAACATACTAATATCCCAGTTAAAACAATTCTTTGTGGTGTCCAACTTTCAAAAAATGCATCCCTCAAATAAGTGACAGCCAAGTAACCAGCTGCCGGCAAAAATTGCCACCTACTTGGTTAGTATCAGCTGGCTACTCTGTTTGGCATTTCTTTACAGATTGCATTTTTTAAATAAAATATCCCTGGACTGGCCGCTTACTTTGACAACTCAGCCGTCTACTTCAAAACTTTCTGACAACTGGGCTGCACCCTTGAATAAGTGCCACATTTGAGGCACAAAAAATTATTCACTTCTTCACTTATTTGCTTTTTGAGTAATGGTAATCAATTTATTGTAGCCTCCTATATAAGTGCATGCCCTCTTTCTGCATTAAAAAGGCTAGTTTAATAAAAAAACAAAGAGAAAAAGAAGCTATATTAATTAGGCAAGAAATGAGATCGTGCTTACAATTGTTTTAGTTTGATCATAAGTCACCTTTAAATAAATGGTTCCATTTCTGTCCCCTTTGGTAGGTGTAGCTCTCATTACAAGCATAAGTGGATCTACCTCACACACAACAATGACATCATAAACACAACAAATACCCTAAAAAGACAAAAATGTTTTTGTTTGCATGATGAGTCAAGAAAAGTCTGATGTGGGAGACTATATGATGCTTTAAATGTGTTTTATTGGGAATTGCGGATGTTTATTGTAGTACACTTTCTGCAGGGGGTTCATTAAGGGCCGGGCACCGGGCAAATTGACCGGCTGTGAACACGACTTTGCCCGGCTGCTTTACATCTCAAAGAACATCTTTTTAATACAAGGAACGATCAAAAACAGTTTTAAGTTACAATAGTGCCCTTTTCTTGGGGAGTCTTATCGAGTGTAAAACATACTTTGCCGTGCAATTTCCACTTTATTACACGCGGCATGAAATCCCCTCGTTCGTTATGTGTTAAAAACAAGAAACGCCCCATAACACATTGTGAAAAGAACTGTGCTTCATAAGCGACCACCTGAAATGACTATCAGTGTTGCGAGCACGTGAGCATGGCCGCCCAGAAAAGAACGCGTTATATAGTGAATTATTTTTCGGCTTCAACCAAAGGGCCTCCAGTAGAGAAAAGGCCAAGAGGTGAGTAGACTTCTTTGTGATTTAACCTTTTACTTGCCTGTATATATTGAATGGCTTAATCATCATGTTCAACGAAGCGAAGCGTGATTTTTTGTTCGTCTTATGGTTTACGCCAATCATAGTTAATTGAGTGGAATGGTTATGAAACCCGTCAGACTCCTTTGTTATATGTTTTTGTGGACCTGAAAGTGCACAACGTTCAAAAGAATTCCTATCATTTTGATTGTATTGACCAATAAAAACGTTGCATTAATTTATTCCGTAACAATTTGTCACCAGAAAACAAAGGATTGTGCACTTTCACGGTGCTTTGAACATAAACTGCAGCACTGTTGTTTTTATCATTGATGTTTGCCGCTTTTCATAACCAGTCTCCTCTAATAACTATGCGCCAATGAATTAATTTTCGGTGCATTCACGTTAAAACAGTACTCCTCCCGTCTAGTCATTGAAATTTTAAAGATAAGTAAATGTTGTTAAACTAATACTTTTGTGATTCACCTTCTAGCGAAAACTCTTCGTCTCTCCAAATGTTTGTCTGCCACACTTCATCTAATCACTTAGTCATGATTAAATTGTCTGGAAAAGCTATCTTTTTTTGGTTGTTGAAAGTCATTGTCTGCAGCTTCAAAATGCAGGAAAACACATCCCTGCGACTATAGAATTTCAAAATTTTCCGGGGGAGCATGCCCCCGGATCCCCCCAGGGGAGGGCCTTGCCAATTCTTCGCCCGGGTGTCAAACTCAGTTGCCCTCCTGTTCAAAACCTTAATGAATCCCCTGTTTCTGGAAGTGGAGTACCACTGTATAGTCCCTGGAACTTTCTACTCCTGCAGTCTATACAGGACCATGTTCAGATAGTTTATTCACTAGCCTACAATGTTATGTAGCATAAACACAATTCTTACAGACCACAAATCCCTCCCCTATCTACTTCTGACAACCCTCTGATTCCCTATGAAGGATCAGCACTCAACTGAAACTCAGTGGTAAACCTATCATTCCCATCATCAATTTAGTTGATAAAAGTAAATCTTTTGGTCCTGCTTATATAGATCATATCAACCTGATGTTATAATTGAAATTCACTTAAAATATGATACATTACCAAGACTGTGATCCCTTGCTCTTTACAAAGCATTGCAACACTACAAAACACCATACTCATTGCAAGATATGTCCAAGGGAAATATTCAGGAGACCCATCTTCTGCATCTGTAAACAAGAAAACGTCACATTTGTAAATTATATGGGGTAATGTTGCTCTTCCTTTAGCTAATTTAATTCATTAATAATGAATTTATTAATAATGAATTTATATAGTGCCAATGAATGATATTAAAAATATTTAAAAGCACTTAATATCAACACTTTTTAAAAACGGTGAGGCTACTACTAGTTCTCATTGATAACAGCAGTGAGTTCCATAACATGCGCAAATGTGTGATCCCCAAGAGAACAGCAGTTGACTTTTGGAATGTACAGAAGAGATTGTGTACATGAGAAAGGAGCACATGTACAATTTGCAGCTCGTCTCAGGGACAGAGATTTTTTATGTAGGCTACAAGTTGTAAATGATAATTTGAAAGTATAATAAACACAGCAACTGGATGTATGGCATAAAGGGGAGAACGTACACCACTTCATGATTGCTGTGGCAGACAAAAATTTATTATTCCATTTCATGACAATAAAACCTTACCTATCTCCCTAGGAAAATGTATTTAAAGATCCATTCCAGATCAGACATGCTAGTGGCTGGTCCAAAATTCACTGGCCACTCATTTGTAAATGAATTTGCCTGACAAACATTAACTTATCAGGGTTTCTGATACTGTGTGGTAATACTTTTATCAACCTAGACGTTAAATTACTTACCAATGTCACAGCATCTTGCATAAAACAGAAAGGAAAGGATAAAGAAAAGTGCACTCAAAAGATCTGCTCTACCAACTAAGCCTGCAACCTAAAAAAATTAAGGGCATTAAATTAGTGAGAGGTGCCTGGAATAAAGCCCCATGCCGGGGGATTTAGAAATTTTTGGGTGGGGATGTGCCACTGGGACCCTGGAACCCTTTATATGAGATTCTTCCCACCTTAATTTTTTTTAGAAAATATAAGAAAAGCAAAGGTCTTCTGAGATGGGAAATCAAAGACCCGAGAATGGGGTCAAAAATGCGGGAAAATGCCAAATTTCATATCATGGGGACTGGGTATGAGTCCATGTAATATGGGGTAATATCAATCCAAGACCAACAAATTCAGCAAGAGGTCACAGAATCCTCAAGTTTGGCATTTATCGGGCAGATATGGGACAAGATACAGCCATCCACACATTTCTTAGTTATTTTTCAAGTTTTTGAATGGTTGTATCTTGTAATTTCAGCCTGATCAAAATTAACCAAACATAGGTATCTTGTAAATCTTGCTGTTATCTTTCTGTTTACCAGGTTCTTGTGTTAGTAATCCAATAATACAGACTAGTACCCAGTCCAGTTTTATGATATGAAATCCAGCAATGTTCCCATTTTAAAATTTCTGAGAGTAATAGAGGCAGGGGTGGGGGGGGGCATGCTCCCATATCTCAAAAAGATACTGGTGTAGGTTGACCCACTTTTGAGAAATCATGCACACAACATTCTCAAAATGACTTTTGACTTGCAGCCCATACACTGTTTGCAACCTGAACAAAATGGAAAAAATGTGATTGTAGATTACGGAGTTGTACGGGAGTGTCCCCTCCCTGTTCATGTCTAAATGGTGGCTAATATTATTATTTCCTTCTGTAATACAGTTAGAGCAAGCATGATATAACCTGAAATTAAGGCTGATTTACACCATACAGGTTTTTGCATGTCTTGCATGTCAAGTGCTTATGATAAGCTTATGACATATTTTGTATTGTTTAAATCAAACCTATAAAAATCTCAAGCCTGTGGTATGCAGAAGGCTTGTGGTAAGCAAATCACATGTGACAAAGTTGTTCAGTGTGAATTGTATGTGGCTTTTAGCCTGGGTTCCAGAGGTTATTTTTTATCATACTGTAAGCACCATTATACTTCATCTTAGGCATTTTCAGAACAGGCCTCTGGAGGCACAAAGATACCCTTGAAAAATTAACGTGCTACTGACGATAAATCTTTGTGGCAAATTTTCAAGTTTAAAACATCCAATATCAACTCTAAATTTTTTTATCTCATAATTTGAAATGGTGAACCAACCTTGAATAAAAATATCATTAAATATTTACTAAACTGTTATTATGGTAACAACTCAAATATTTAACGAAAATTGTAACTACCTGCTAACCTTAAAAAGTAAATAATTTTACAAGCATAAAAAATAGATAAGCTTAGGTAGTTGATAACTAAGCAAAGGAGCTTAAATTGAGGTCAGCGATATAAAAAATATTTTAGATTAAAGTTCTTAACTTACACTTTCCGTGTGAATTGGATGCACCGCAAAAATGAGGGCGCCGACCAAACTTGCCCTAGGAGAGGAAAATTGAATGCTTGTGGATTCGCCAGTTAAGCTTATCTCATTATCGTTAGAGGTCCTTTTTCTGGCGCTAATGAGAACTGAAAAAAGTTTCAAAGTTAACACTGAAACCACAGCATGAAGTATGACATTGAAGAGATGAAATTCCCAAGGTTTTAGTCCATCAGCCAGCCAGTAATTAAATCTAAAAGTCAAAATAGTCAGTGGACGATAACTTTTGTGGCTTAGATTTGACGAGATGTTTGTTCCCCAAAAGTCATGAAGAAACAGTTTTCCAAGGGGGACCTCAGCTTTAAGATCCTGGTTACCCACAATAGCCTCAGAATCGTCGAATACAAATCCTGCATCGCAGGAATTCCAATAACAAATTATTGAAACAAAGAATACGATGACAGATGCGACGTGAAACGAAAAGCTGGGGACGGGAAAATCACAATCAATTTCTCCACCGCCCACCACAAAGTCAAAATATGCATCTTTGCGTTCCTCTTCGACGAAATCTTTCGCATTTCTTCTGCGGGGTCTGCTTCCATTTGCTCTGAACTTGGACGCCATAAAACAAGCCTCTTTAAAGGTAATTTGAGGCGAGTTTTTAAGCTAATTTCCAGCGGGTGGAACTCAACATTTTCAAACAAAGCGCGAACAAAACCAAAACACCATCCGAGCACCTGCAGACGACAGCTTAGACTTTCTAGGGAGGGGTAAGAACACAAGTCAAACTTCTTGCTAAAAACAACACATAATGATAGAGACGTTATTTCATTCAGTACCGAAGAATTTTCCCCAAATGAGACCTAAGATCGTCATGGACAGTATACGATAAAATATATGCAATTTTGATAGTCAAATTTTGCAACAACCTCGATTTTACCTTCCTCCCTAGAAGGGTAGCCAACAAAGCCGCATAGAATGCTGGGACTGTCTAATCAAACATGGCGGATTTATGGGCAAGTAAGTTAAGATTGATGTTAAGATGGCGTGCAGTCAGGTCTAATTTAAAAGCTGAAGAGGTCACATAGCCTTGTCATAATTCGTTATTTTTTACAAGTTTTTAGCACATATAAACGGGTGTCATCCTTTTGATTTTCACCCCGGAAGTAAGGTATCATTTTACTGTTGCGCAATGTTTCACTTTTGCTACGTGGAAATTTTGGTGATTGGGTTCACATTGGCTTATATGAGAGCTAAGTTATCGACTTTTGAGGTATATATTGATCCTTTGGTATGTGTGCAGGTCATTTGAATTAGAATACAGGGTCTTGTCATCCCTTGATGCCGTGTTGCGTCTGTCGATTGGTTTGTAATTTTGCAGTGCAGTTTTGACATCATTACACTAGTACTGGCCGTTGATTAGCCTTTGATCATGATAATTGGACGATCAACTCCCTCCCTACTTAGGAGTTAGATGTTATTGGTTTTATCTCCTTTTTATGTTCTATTATAAATTTGTCTTTGTTGATTTCTCGGAAATCTGAACTGAGAAAAATTAATTATTAAGTCAACTCAGATCAGCTGTACACAGATGAGAAGTCAATTTTATTGTCTTGTCTACTTGATTTATTGTCTCGTGTTCTTGCTTTCTTTCTTTACAGCAGCATAGTACAGTATAAGGAACATTGATTACTTCAATTAAATTTTAAAAATGGCACAGCTGTTGGAGCCACTTCCATTGGAGATGGAGAGGTAGTTAACCACTAAGATATATTTTTAATTATCTTCCAAAATCAAGTTATTATACCATGTGGTTTTGTCTTAGCCTACTCCGATTCTACTTTTCTGTAAAAACAAAAAACATATATTTGTTTGTGATGTTGTGATATTTTACAAAACAGATTCTCTCTACAAAGACGTGAAAAGGATGGCGAGCATACATTAGGTGAGAATAATAAGATTCACAATAAGCTATCTTACACGTGCGACTACCCGGTACTGTAACCAGGGCCACTTAGACAAAGTTGACCAATCAGGAAAATAACACTACATTCACTCTAACAGACCTCTCAGGAAACACAAGCTTCTTTTCAGCGGGTTCAATAGGTCAGATTTGTAGGCTGTAATTGGTTGATTTCGATCCACGTTGTTTATTTTGATTATGATTGATAACTAACTTTCTCAGAATGTATTGTTATTTTCCTTTTTATATCTATTTATTTTTTATGGTAACGTTACAGTAATGATGAATGCACAAAAATAATGGCTCTTATAAAAATACAAGAGTTTCAACCAGTTTCAGAGTAACAAGTGGATTTTGTTGTTCATAAAATATACAGTATTTTATGACCTTATGCAATTATTGTTATCATTTCGTTATCATCATCTTCATTAGTTTCATTGTTATGATGATAATATTTTTTTGACAGTGGATTACAGTAAAGTACCACGTTCAAGTGGAGATGGCATGGAGTATTCTTCTAGTAATTCCAGCGATGGAAGTATCTCTGAGGCGAGTGATGATAGTGAACCGTCGCAAAGAAAAATTACATCTTTACCAACAACTACAAAAAGCCAAATGTTTGGAAACAAAGCAGTTTGTTCCTCTACTGGGAGAAAAACCGTGTCACAACCAAAGAACTGTCAAGAAAAACAGAGGAATACAAATACTCAAGACATACTTAACCACCAGATTCAAAGTGGACATGGTTACTCACCAACATCTGTCTCTAGAACTGAAAATAAACATTATGCAGAAAATGATGAACACCCCAAACCTACGGCAATTTATCGACAAAACTCAACAAATATTTTACTGCAAGGTGCTGAGTTATCGAGATTAGACCAACAGTTGGGAATATCATTAAAAGGAGATGATCAAGTTCCATCTTTAGCTCTGCCAGTCGCAGATCTCAGCTATAAAGAGCTTCCTGTGAAGACTACTGTCGTAGAACAAACAGCAGAGTTTGTGGATAGTCAGAAAGTTATTAATGACCTTGAGGAACAAAACTCTAAGTTGATTGAGGAGAAAACAAAGCTTTCTGTGCAGCTTGGGGTCCAGACTAAGGTTTGAACAAAAAATAATAACTAATTTGTTACCAGTAGTTAAAAAATATGTCTTTTGAACCCCAAGATCATGACCAGGCCACTCTTCTTTGTTCCCTGCTCTGATGACATAACGAACAAATTATTTTTTATCTTTTTTTGTTATTGTACAATTTCTTTGTCAAATTTTACAGTGTGACCGAGAAAACCGTGAACACTTAAAATATTTCAAGAATGTTTATTGTATTACGACCAATCACAGCAAAGATCAGGGCACGCCAACTAGCTACAAAACCACAAAAACTAATTAATATTCTTGCCTGCAGTTTAGTTTCTCACGCCCAATTGGCTTTTATCTTGCAACACAATAACATTCCAGAAATATTTCTGGTGTGCACAGTTTTCCCAGTTTGATTGTAAAAATGTTCTACCATAAACAGGCCTTCTGACAGGTCGCGGAAGAAAAAGTCATATTTCGCAGGATTTTTTGGGACAAATTCGTGGAAAAATCGGCCAATTTCGCGGGATTTTGCAGATTTTCCTGAATTTCGCGGCCCTGCGACCGCTCGAAATATCAGAAGCCCTGCATAAAAGAGAAAATGCCAAATACATCTCCAATGAAGTAGCAGTTGATGAGCATAACGAAAACGTTTTTAGCAACCAAAGAGTTAAAAGTGACAAAAAAAAGCATTTGTAGTAAGTAGCAGACTTTTAATTTTGTTGCAACGCAAGGTGTTATTATTTGCATCACTGTGAGGTCCCATCAGGATAAATGAAGACAGGTGACAGGGCTTGAAACAGCGACGCAAGACTGGCAGCAAAGTTGGATTCAAACTGAACATGATACCATAGAAGACAACTGATAATACAATAGACATTTTTTCCTCCTTTTCAAAATAATGGTTTCAATTTATAGTGCAAAGTCTTTTGATATCAAGGTACTTTTTTATTCTCAAGTAAACAAAACTTCATTTTCATATGGAATGTTTTAAAATTACACTTGACAAATTCATTTTGACATGTAATGTCAAAGTCTCACGTAGTCTACATTCACATGACGCCAGACAAATTTTTAACCAGTTAAAAATTTGTGCATTTAGGTGTTCTGTTCACATAGAACCACCTCAACCATACCAAAATCTAGATGCCTAGCCATTAAAGCTCCATGTGAACAGAACAAAAATATTGAACTGTCCCGTGTGAACTAATAATATTGTCCCAGCGAGTCTTTAAGAGACTGGGGGTGGGGATTTCCGCCACTACTATGAGGGTGGCCCCCGTCTACTTTCAAAGGAAAATAGAAGAAAAATAGAACCAGAAAAAACCCGTAGCTGTTTGATTTCCCACCTACTTGTGGTATTTACCCAGCAACTTGAAATCTTAGTGACAACCCTGTTGTCCAGTCAAATTTTTCAGCTGGTTGAAAATTCATCTTGTGCCATGTGAATGTAGTGTTAGTTTCTCAAGCAAATACAAGGCAAATTGGAAAGAGAACAAAAAGTTTAGTAGAAGTTAATCAGAAGCTGACCCCTTTAAAGCTTTTTTCATGCATCCTTTCATTTATGCCTTTCATCAAGGGATGAAAAAATTCAAAATGAAATTGTGATGACATCACAAGAGAAAGGTTTGTCTTCTTCCACTGGGTCATGAAAGGGAAGTCTTAAGTAACGTGTTAACAGGTCATAAATCTTTGTTTTTCTCTCTTCTGAACAGGTAAATGCAGAGATAAAGAGGTTACTAGTAGCATCAGTTGGAGAAGATATTGGGCAAAGGTATTCCAAAATTCTATAACTGATTCTGTTAGGTTGGAAAAAATGTATTTTAGAAAATTCACAAATTACATGGAAACATATATTGTAGGTTTCATTTGTTTGTGTTACGTTTTTTCAAAAAGAGTTTATTCTTCATTTTTGTCTCAGAACTGAGTACATGGATTTTCTGCCTCAGCCATTGCAAACTGTAATACTAATTTTACAAAATTTTGTTGTTCTTACAAAATCAGGTTGGAAGACTTGGTCAGTAGAAATGTCCAGCAAACTGTTGAACTTAAACACTGGAAAAAAATGTGTGAAGAATACTCTGAGGAGTCGGACAGGCTTGAGATTGAATGTGATGTATGGAGAACAAAATTTCTTGCAAGCAGGTAAGAGTGGTGTTTTACCGTCTCATTGCTTACCGGTACATGCAAGCTTCGCATCTTGCTCATCAGGAACAGTAAAAAGTTGTCAACCAAAAGATACTGGTACTTGGAGCAATCAACTCAGTCTTTCTTTTATCGTCAGTGAAAATCACACATTTAACTAGTATGTAATCTTTAAAAAAAAATTCTTCCATAATAATGTATCCCTGCAGCGTTTACACCTTAGTTGTGTGTCCCACATACAGGTAGAAATTTTTTATCTCAGCTGAATTGCTTTTGGCCCAGTTTCTCATACTTGGCAGAAAAAATGTGAGCTTTCACAGTCTTAAATGATGCATTCTAAAAAGATGTCAGAAATTATTATAACATCAGGGCCGAGTTGTTCAAAGCTGGGTTAAGATAACCCAGGATTAGTGCGAGATTTTAATTCAGATTTGAAAGCTTAAAAAGCATTTCAGTTTTACTTCTTTTTCTCTACAAGATGATGATTGGAAGCTCTAAAAATAACAGAGAATATTATCCTAGAAAATGCTTTAGAACACAAGAAAAAGAAACCAGGGTTAAATTTAACCCCAGGTTAAGCGCTAACCGGCCTTCGAACAACTGGGCCCAGGGCTGTAACTTTAGATTTCAAGTTGTCAGGTGTATGCTGATTTAAAGCAAGGAATTGAACAGCTAGAAGGTTAAATTGGATCTGTTTCCCATTTGTTTTCCTCTGAAGGTAGCCAGGGGTATTTTTGTTAGTCGCCCAGGAAAATCCCTAGCCCCCGGCCAATAGTCACAGCCCTTTAGCATGAAATAAACGTGAACCAATTTTCACGAAGAGAAAAGTCAAAGTGAATGATCGTACTTTCCCAAAAACCTCCCAATGTTAGTAGGAAGGTCACTGTTGCTCATTCGGAGAACTTCAGAACTCTTTTGAACATCTTCAGAAATCATCGGATGCCTAAGAATATTTTGAGATCGTCTATGAAAAATTGTGGCACTTGCAGAGCTTCTCATGAGGATGAAAATCTAAACAAGTTAACTCCCCTTTGGTACCAAAATGTTAAAGTAAAACATAGTGTGTTTGCCTTAAGAATGATGTCTGATGAACTATCAAGTTGGAAGGTAGCACTCTATGCCAGATACCGACAAGCACAGAGTGCTTTGCAGAGATTGCTGGACGAGAGAGCTCAGCTGCAGCAGTACTTGATTGATACCAAGAGGCAAGTAACAAGCTTAATTGGCTTCTATTGACATAAATCTTATGGGACCTTCATCCTTGCTTCAGCATCTTCTTTTTCTTCACTAACATCCTCATCACCATGGTAATATTTATTAGCATGATAGTAATAATAAATTATGATAACAAACACTTATAAATAATAATAATTATCATAATAGTAATCAATAATGATAATATGATTATTATAACTTTGCTAGTAAATTGACTTTAAACAAGTAAGCACAAGCACAAGGATCTGAGAAAAAAGAGAAAATCTTTTTCGTTTATTATGGTGTTTGCTTTTACATTGCGCACATGCATCAGAAGCATTCATTTTCTTTTGAAACAAGACTCTTACACTTGCGCCTATACTTACATTGCCAGTGTAAACCAGACTTAAATGGATGGACATCCTAAGTGAGGATTCAAATGAGTTCTTTTCAGTCAAACTTGGACAGTTGGCCCTTAAAAGAGTTTGTCCTGACCTATGTTTTTATTTTATTCTATTTTGTTATTGTTCAGTTATTGTTTAAACATTTTAGCTAGTTTGCATCTTTAATTAATGTGGTAGATTCCCTGCTAGGGGAGGCCTCTTTTCCGCCAAATACCAGGGGAAAGAGGTTTCTGCTAGAGGGAGGCTGGTAGGGCTGGGCTTTACATAAAAAAGTGAGCTACTCGTTATTTTCATCTGTCGATTTGTCCTATAAGCTTAAGTTGATTAGTCTCCCTTGCAGCCATTTTTTTGTCATCTTGCAATGCTCCTTCTTGGGGAACATCATTGTGTGACAGGACAAAAACAGCTTGGGAGCCTGAGATGATATGAGATATTGTTCTCTTTCCTTGTCAGTGAAATTACATACAGATACATGGTTAGAAAACTTTATCTGTGGGTTCTAGTTTTCAAAAGCAGCACTTCTTTTAGTCTGCTACACAGTCGCGCTTTGTGTCATCATCACACAATGCTCCTGTTTGTGAGGAGGAGTGTTGTGTGATGACACAAAAGACAGCTGTGTAGCAGACTATACGTCGTTGGGAGAATTTTTAATTTTTGTAATGTATAACCCATAACATAGTAGATTCCCAAAATAAAGTGAATTCTTAAGTAATTCACTGATTTTTTTAGTTTTTTTACATTGCAGGTGTATTCAGTCCTTACACTCAATGCTGAAAAGCACAGGTGGTATTCTTCAAGGATCCTTTCCTTCATTTTCCTCCGCAAATGAACAGAACATTGTAGTAATAGCTTCATTAAACAACTCCTTGGCTGAAGAAACTTTAGATCTTGCTCAGAATGTTTTGCCAGCGTTGTCACTCTCAGAGACATCACTTATGTTAACTCATGAGTCAGTGGAGAACACAGAAAAACTCAAGATGGGACCAACTTCTGCTGAAAAACTAGCTTTACAGGTGAATTTTACGTGGCTGGCTTGTGATTATGAGTGTACTGCATACTCAGCAGAGAGACTACAAAGGAGTTGTAGAATTCAAATAACAGCTTTTGGTCAGTAATTCAGGAGACATAAAATCTGGAGACTGTCTCTTTTGCAGTACACCCCCTACCCCCTTCCCCAAGCACCTCTCTCCACCCGTGTGACTCAGGGCATCGAACGAAGTCTTCTAAATTTGTAAATTTTGTAAAAAGTACAGATGAAAAAGGCCGTGGAAACTGTCCTATGATCGAAAGCATTTTTTAATTTTTGAAAAATGGCGCAAAATTCCAAACTTAAACAGTGAAGTTAAAAATTATATTTTATCCGGGAGATTTGGTGACCTGTACAGGGAACAGGGTGAACTATGCAGTACACAAAAATTTCGGGAGAGTTGGCAGTGATTTCTTTTGTCTCCTCTGTAATAATATTTCCCTGCTAGCAGAGGTCTCTCATGGCAAAAAAATAAATAAATAAATTGTACCGCATGTACAGTACTGGCGTCTACTGGCGTTTCCTTTACAACCAGTAAAGTTTTAATCACGTGCGACACAACTTACAGAACCAGTTTGCATAATAGCAACTGTGGGCTCAGAAATATCCAGGATGGAGTCTCAACAGGACACGCGCATCCTACAGTAAACGAAACCAGTTTTGAAAACCAGTCAGTTTCGGCCACAAATGTTGTCGGCGGCTACAAGGAAGAACGCGTTGGGGGCCGACAGAGGTCTTCCTCTATCCTCTCCTTATTCTCTTGTTGTGAGAGACCTGCTAGCAGGGAATCATAATAAGTGTAATGAACTGTAGTTTCTCTCCATTCCAATATCATTCTTCATTTCTCGTACCTTTTACCCCTAGAGTCATTACTTCGAAGAAATAAATGTATTGTAGTTCTAACTTATCAGTGGATGTGTGATCAATCACCATTCAATTGAAACCTTATCAGCAGTACTTTTCACAAAGTGACATTTGTCTTCAGCACTTCACCCCAATAAATTTGACGTATCTCATAGAATTCCTTGAATTTTGAATGGTCATAACCAACTCTGAAAATTTCATGTAAAAGTTTAGTCTGGTACCACACGTAGAAGATCGCGCACCCCTGTTAAAGGCTTCCGGTCCAGCAAGACACGCTGTTCAAGACCCTGAATAATGCAATTGTATACCCTGTTTATGACCCCGAAATCTAAATCTAAATCTAAATAGTTACTGTATACTAATCTGTCATATGGGCTGTAATACTGATCTGTCATATAGGATGTAAGATAACCTTACTCTGTTCAGCAGAACATCGCTGTTAAGATGTCCCCTCCGCCCAACGGACCTAGGACAGATTTGACTGAATACAGAGCCATTTTTTCCCTGTTCATTAGGTCTTATCCGATGACGTGGATCTTCAAGCCGAACAACAGCAACTCAGAGGTGTTATGAAAAGAATGTCTCAGCAGTACATTGGTCATGATTATCAAAGCCGGTTTGCTACCAAGAACTTCAGAGTAACTTATGACTGCTGTGAGAGGTGCACGGGAGCTCTTCAAGTGGTGTAGACACAGGCAGACCACCCTCTGTTCTTAGAAGAAACACTAGCCTGTTCCATGCTAGCCTCTCACGCAGATAGTGGAGTGTGGCTCGAAGTCAGATTATGCGTTTCTGCGAAACTGTCGACCTACCCCTCCCCTAAGCCAACATTTTTCCCTAAGTGAGAAGTACTGTAAGTGTTAACATTGGCTTAGGGGAGGGGTAGGTGGGCAGTTTCCAAGAAACATGTAATGCCAAGGTAAGAAGGGAGAGAGGAGGAAACTTCTCTTCGTTTTTTCGCTCTTACTCCCTTTTCCACTACGTCGCTGTTTTTCCTGCTCAAATAAATTTTCAAAAATATCCAGATACGAGTGGACGAGGCCTTACATTGTGCCATTAAGTGATCAAGCCGATAGGAGCTGGTCAACTCCGGGTTTCGTGCTATAACAGTAGAGAGGCTTTATTAAACCGAGGTGGAAGAAAAACCACCTCAGAGAATACAGACACATTGAACAACGTTTTTTCGTTCTCATATATTAATTTATTGACGTACAATGCGCGGGTTGAATTGAATATACTCACTCTTACAGGGAGAGGAGAAAGGTTTCTATAGAATTCTTACAATTTATAAATATAAATAAATATAAATTCACACGAACTTTTACATATGTTTTATACAAATAATGCATTTACATATTACAGCCACGGTCGAAGAGTAACAAAGAGTACATTTCTTTGTCTGTCACTAAGCGGCTTTCCTGCCTTCTCCGTTTAGTTCCAGGAGGTACAAAATCGCAAACCTAAGGTCCTGGGCTCTTTTCCCGCGCAGAACTCTAGCTGGATTTGTCTGTCCGTCGTTGCAGGTTCGACATCAGGGAGCTTTAGCGTCGACGCGTGAACGACAACAAGACAGAAGAAGAAGATTTAATGAGCAAAACAGCATCACACTTTTTTGTTCATTCCTTTGCCGTCAATGCACTACTACGACGTGAAATTCTTTTATGAATCTCTTAGCTCGTTAACACACGACCACGAATGTTTCTTTTTCCTTCAAAACTTGGGTTCGGTTCCCAGTAATTCAATTCCAGGGAAATTCACCTTCATTTGACATTTTTCAAAAGTGACTAGGAGTAATAGTGACAAAGTTTAAAACAACACCGTCTGTAAATAGTTTTGATTTCGCTACCGTTTGGCGGTCGTCGTTGCTATAGAAGGTCCCTCTTATGCTGTTTTCCCGGGAGGGCAACTTCGCTAAGAAATCCGGGGTGTATGCCAATGTACCCAGTCGCTATTTTTATGTTTTGGGGGTGAAAGAGACGAGGGGAAAAAAATTCTTACCCCCTTAAGTCCTCGCGCGCCTTAACCACACATAAACAGCGACTAGGTACGATTCTGTTTTAACGAGGTTGGGGTTTTTCGTCGGGGAAAATTAGAATTACTTGGCGTGGCTCAGTTTTTTTTTTTTTACCCCTACAAGATACAGCCCTAAAACAAAAGCTAGATAAACTGTAATTATATTAATTTGAAAAGACAAGGTGTCATTGAATGCTTTCTTCTGCTTTAAGTTTCTTTTTTCTTTTCGTCTTTTTCGTTCTTTAGTTTCCTCACGCACAACCGTAAGCGAAACCGTCATCCGAGGGTAACTAAAATGTGCGTTTCGTGCTGAAAACCTTAAGCTGAACCTGAATCCGCAATTTAGACTCCTTAACGAGGCGACCAGTACCACTGTTCTTTTAATAATGGCCCCAGGGGAAATTAACAATGACAAGGGCGATTTGAATTTCAACCAGATTTCCGACGGCTTATTACCCTGGGTACTAGAGGTTCTTTGTCTCTCGACTCTGACAAACCAAGACATGCGTCTCCATGGCAACATTCAATCGTATAGTTCATGGGAGATTCGACGACTCATCCCATTTTGTCCATGTTATGGACACACACTACGTCTGAGCCGCCTAAGTGTGTTGTAGTAGGACGTTTCTTGCTTTCTGAGTATTAGTGACCGTGTAGTAGCAATCGTGGCAATCTTTGTTAAGGATAATAGCCTTGAATTGACTTTCCAAGAAGGGCAGCCCATTAAAAAAAAAAAGAAAAAGAAAGGCCGGGAATTTCGCCTTTCAGTTTGGAGCGACTTTGGAACGGCTTTGATTTAGACGCCGAACTTTTCATGTACGGAACCTAATGCAAGCTAATGCATAAATTCTTTGCAAGCGGTTTTACCGAAATGAGCATTTTTCGCCTTTTGAACTTAATTCAGCTGCAATAAAAATCGGTGTCTGAATCAATTCAGATTCTGAATTAGGGTAATTGAGGGCCTAAGGCTGGTCTGTGCATTTTATAAAAAAACTAATTCATTTTTAAGTTAAGATAACGTCAAGTTGGCAGACATGGATAATAGGGACCTTAAGCAAAGACGTTTTTGAGCGACGCACGTCAACCGGAAGTGAGGCCCCTCCCTTTTTATATGCCTTGACGCTAACAAACTTGTATTGCTGAGTTTCTTTTCTCTTTTAAAGACGATTTACCCGAGAGTTTCAACCAAACCGCTCCCCAATGATGCAAAAAGTCCACTTCCGGTTGACGTCCGTCCCTCAAAAAAGCTCCCTAATAACCATCGCACGTACCGCTGATATTATCTGAGATTTTATTCCTCTCTTTACTGCTGACAATTATTTCAACATGACGGTGTTCAACAAGAAAGCTCTTGCTACTTTGGACACTGTACACAAATGAACTTAATGTCTTTTAGTTAATTATTATTTGTCAGCTACTTTATTTCCCCACCTACGTACACTTATGTAAATATATTATATAGTGTGAAATAAAGAATTGAATTGAATTGAATTGAATTGGTCGACTTTACTGACTGGATCTGCTCCGACACTGAGTATTTCCACATACAATGCGGCCAAACTTGGGGCAGCAGTTATTTAATTACTCCTAAAAATTGTAGCAGGTGTGTGTTGTGACTTCAAGGAAGTCACGAATTTTAACCTCATTATGACGTGGGTACGCCAAAGTCAGTCGAGCGTAGAATCGTCGCATTAAAGTCAGTTTCAGACCATAGGAACCTAACAACCAGCAGCAGCCGAAAGCGTTTCCTTAAAGAAAAACGATGAGATGTTTTTTGCTATGTTATTTTCCGTTGTCAAAGAATGTGCGTCGCTCAAGTACTCCAGAAGGACTGCATAGAGCTTTGGGGAGTTTAGTGATAACTTGTCTATGGAAGGGAATATTAGTTTTGCGGTATCGCGGAGTTGCTCATTTTTTGTGCGGGCAGTTTCGGTGAATAAAATACCATCCTGTGGTATTGCGTGTGATAATCTCAATCCGTACTTTTTGCGATGTTCCTGTTTTAAAACTATAGTTTTCGGTGAAACAAGATTCTTTGCGAAGTTGTGGTTTCGTGTTTGACGCTTGTCGAAACTCTTGACTTCGTGTACCGGTATTTTCGTTTATCTGTGCTTAAAAGCACGTACCATTGTAAAAATTACCGTTTAGTTAGCCTTTAATAAGCTGTACGCCCAAACCTGATTTTCATTCATAAAACATTGACCTCTGTGGATGCCACCCGTATTGTCGGTCGAAGGTAAAGGCATTTTGCAAAATATTACTGATCACGTGTTGAAGTTCTCCCTTTTTCAGATTTAGCAAATATCGATCATGTAAATCGTAGGACTAAAAATAGATCGCAGTGTTTGCATTTCGTCAATTTCTTCTTTAGGTGTACGTTTTTTGTTGTTTGCTTTTTTTGTTTATATATTTTTTTGCAGTGTTTTCAAAGTGCTTCGTCATGGGCGAATCTTTCAGTTAACGTCAACGTTCCCTTGTTTTGGCCCATTGAGGGCATCGCCGTGTGCAGTATACTGTTTATTCAAATACCAAACAAACTTCAAATGTTAGTGAAAGAGCAGAATAACTTGAGCAACTTGTGCAATTTTCAGATCCACGAGAAATTATTTAAGGAAAAAGGCAGCAGCCATCAAAAACTGCGAAATTGCTGGGAGGCAAACAAGTTCATTATTTAGTTTAAAAAAGGGAATTCTACCAGTGTGTAGAAACTATTGGTTCAGTGTGGGGCTCACATAATTTTCGGAGGTCACTAATGTTACTATGTTTTATCAATATTAAGCAATATTCAGAGATGTCATTGTTTGATCAGAGAATCAGAAGTGTTGAAGAGCCCAAAAAATGTAAACAAAGATTCGCCAATACTCAACAACTTTATCATGTTTATCGCTTTCCATTTAATACTTCAGTGGGTTGGGTTCCGAGGATTTGCTCCAACAGGGGAGGAAACTTATCTTGTTTTGGATTTCTCTTCTTTGAAGCAAGTCCAGTGAGTTTTTCGTAGCGTTTCGATACACCACTAGTTTGTTATTAGAGCGGAACAGAATTTGTTGTTTGAGGCACAGTTAAGAAATCTAGTTATGTGGGTAATATAATTTCGTTGTTGAGACACAGCAAGAGAGTATTAAGGCCGGACTCTCTTGAACATGCACAGACGAAAGCTGTGTCAAGCTATTTGCTATCTTTTAAGGGTAAACAGAGATAATGTCATGACGCTGGTATCATCTAGTCATATAATCCTTCGTGTCCCGGTTACCTGGAAAAGCTGTCATTTAGAACTACTACCAGTACGTGTATTCCTTTTTGACGTTTTTGTTTAAGACTGCCGATTGATTTACTAAAAAAGTCTAATATTTCAATTCAGTTGTATTCATTTATTTTAAGAATTTTGAGGAAATTTTTTTCCTTTATAATATTCCTTTTTTTAGAAATCAACAGTATTTTTGGATTTTTATAACAAATTTGATACGCTATTGTAGGATAGAAGGTGTCACCATACATACTTAGTCAAAAAGTAGAGGTGGTTTCAGCTCTCTGCAAGCAACATCTAACGAAATAGAAAACGTCAAAAATTGCAAAGGTTGTTGGGTGGCAAAAACTCGTTAATGTGTCATACATTCTTTGTAAAACTTCGAGGAGATTCATATTTTCTGGGATTACTAACATTGCTACGCTATTTTAATAGCTTGTTCAGAGAATGTTACGCTTACCGTAGCCTGGGACTAGGCTGGTCCCAGGCTAAGCCTAACGGTAAGTTTCGTCAGACGAACAAAATATTCATGGAGAACGTGAACACGACACGACCATTTTCCTTTTTTTTCTGAGCTTGGATGTTGTCCTTACGATTTCAACTCCAGAAAAACTTGCCTACATCACAGGAGGGTCTGCTTTCACATCTTAAAGTAAAATTAATGGACAAGGATAACTTTTCTTAGTTGATGCGTGGAATGTGTTTTCGTTGGCGGCGGTCAGTTGGACTTTTGCGGTCAGCAGGTGCACTGAACCTAAAACATCCTAAAAAATCTTCGGAGCTACTCCAATCTTAGCCTGCCGAAAACTGCCCGTTTCTCCTCGCTCCTAGCCACTGGGGACGTGTCGCGAGGAGGACGTATTCGAAGCTCTTGGGGTCCGAACATTGGATGTAACTGAAAGGGCTTGAAAACTGATTACCGCAAAAAATTCTGCAAAGGAAACTTTTGTCAAACTTGTCTAAAAAAAGTCGTGGGAGTGGCGGAACCTGAAAAGATTCACGTGCAGATGACGTGACATGAGTGCACTGCTACGCTAAATTGATCAAAAAAGGAACCTCGTCATTTTTCATGTCAGTCGCGTATTTGGTTTGTTTTACGCCGGCGTAAACACCTACGCGACTGACAAGCCACGCGAACGACTTTGTAAATGTTAAAAGCCATGCTATAAAGAAACCTCTGTTCGCACATAGTTACTAACTATGGCTTGCAGGATAAATTTTATCAAATGTGGCAAGATTTAATGTAAGCAGTCGTATATAGTTATTAACTACACTGTCAACTAGCTATGATATTGCTTTTCTTACTTTTATTTTATACTGTGATGTTAATTATATTTACAGTAGTACCACTAACTATAAAAAATACTAACAGTTAATTCAGAAAGGGAATGGCTTGTTCAAAAGCTTACGTACACTATTGTCAAACAATGATATTATTAATGCAAAAAATATACCTTGAAATTTTCAACAAGCAGTTCAAAAAATAAGAGAAAAAGAGAAGATTTTGTTTCTGTTGAGGACATTCTTAGTAACGCTGCCAAATATAAATCAGGGTAATTGATGTACGCCTCTTGCCTGAACTTAAAATGCAATGTCATCTTTTGATCATGCCATTTGTCCAACTAAACAAAGTTTATGAAATGGTGTCATATCGCAAAACTATTTATTGTTGCTTTAGTGTGTCTGTTGGTGACGAGGTTTGCTCACGCTGAGTAACTTCTCTGGGGGACATCGTTTATTTTATCAGTAAACATATTCAATGCCCATTTCCTTGGCAGGCACTGTGCAGAACTTTGAAAGAACCGTTTCAATATTTCTCCATATTTTTGTTAGTTATCGAGAATATCCAGAAGTCTTGTGAAATATTCCTTTTGTGATTAGAATTTAACCATATCCATCAGTCGGATTTTACTCTCAATGATATCCTTTAACCACTTCTCTCGGAACCTGGTCTTTCCTGGTCTAAAAAGTAAAGGAGAACTTAATCAGTATAGGTCTCCGCTATTCCCTACGAATTAAAGCAGGGGTGGATCTAGGGGGAGGGTGCAGGGGGTGCGCACCCCCGAGATAACCTGTGGTTTTCTAATACAACTGGTATTCTGCAAAAAATGATGAGGTTTATTGGTGTTGAAGTAGAGCAAGAGACGAGTGCACCCCCTCCTAAAAAAATCCTGGATCCGCCCCTGTAAAGTAACAACAGAAACCACAAGTCCGTCATCCTTATATTTGTAGGACAACTGGCACCTTAACTGGGTTATCATACGACATAGAACTAAGCAGTCCATGCCTGCCCAAATATAGGCTTTTTTTTCCTTTTTTCAAGTATTTTAGGGAGGAAAAAGCATTAAGCATTACAGTAAAAACCCGCATACATGAGAACACCCATTTTCGGGGTTCAGGCTGATTGGGTTCTTATATATCGGGTATTTTAGGTGAAATCAGCCTGAAAGTGTTCTCAAGTGTTCTTAATTTTTTACTTCTAAAAAAATGTAAGTTGTTACAAGTACATTTGCTACACACAGCAAGTGAAATTACTAGCATTTATACAGAGATCTTAGTGCCATACCACAGTAAAACTACAGACACTGTTCTATTAAACTGAAAAGGGAAAAGTTTTTATATATAAGAAACAATTTTCAATTTTCAGGCTGAATGTGTTCTTATATATATGCTCCTTTTTTACCAAATTTTAGCCTGGGTGTTCTTAATACACATGTTCTTGTATGCAGGTTTATACTGTATTTGATCATCTTATAATTAGTGGCATTTTATCATTATTTGATCATCTTATAATTAGCGGCATTTTCCAGGAAAAGTAATATTTTTTCTGAGATAAAATAAAATTCAAGTATTTTAAAGAGAAAATGATGACTTAAACTGGAAATTCCGAAAAAGTATATATGCAAATGTTTACCTTTAATAAATTCATGTTGAGGATCTTTTTCTTAGTGCTGTATTAAAAACTCCTAACTTGTATACATTGTTGTCACACTAGTTATTCATAAACCTTTTCATGTCCATTAGTCCATTAGAATAATGATAAAGAGCTATTACATGATGAGCATCATCTAAGAAAACTTTCGCTCATAATTTGATAGGGTTCTTGGAATAGAGCCCATGGTACTGGTGATACATGTCACTCGATATTCTCCTTCCATTTTGCCTCGTATATAGTTGTGAATCAAGTAGAGAATTTTGTGTTTTATACATCAGAGTTTTTATAATAATTAATGTATGATCTATTTCCATGTACTCTTCATTACCATATTAATCATCAATGTACATGTGCCATGGAGACACATGTTAGTTGGCTTTTGACTTTCAGAGTTATAGTTTTTTTTAAAGCAGACGGAAACATAGAAGAGAAGTTGTTACTTCATGTTGCCATAGTAGCAAAATGTCTGGATGACAACATACCAAAAAAAACATCACTTAAACTGTTTCAAACTTCTTGATCTGACTCCTTTAAAATGTTGGCAAAATTTTCTGTGTTTGAATTCAAAAGGACCATATCTAAGTTTAGAATAAGAAAAAGGAAATTTTTTTGTTGTGTTCACCTACTCCATAAAGTGGGAGCATGAAATGAGGAAGTTTCATGTCACATTCGTGCAATGACGGTTAAGAAATTTAAAAAAAGGCTGCTTGTTGTTTGATTGTCATTTTGCTAATATAAACATTTTGCTTTTTTGCCATGCTTGTTGCCATTGCCATCGTTATTGCTTAAGCTCACAATTGTTGTGATGCAGCAATTTTGGTTATAACAAGACGTCAAGCTTCTTCTCTCTATTCCCTTGCCCTTAAATTCATCAACTGGGGGTGATGCACGGGCAACTTTGGACAATCTCCTGGCATGAGTCTTGCCATCAGATACTTGACTCTTATACCAACCAGTCTTAAAAGCAATTTTTTCCCAGTTACTACTCCACGCACAAGAAAAAAAAGAAAGAAATGAAAACAGACATAGAAAAGGCAACATACCGGTGAACCAAATGATGTGTCTCAAAAATATAGTACACTTCAACAGGAAAAGTCTAAAATCAAACAGATTCAAACTTGATCAAAATAATAAAAGTGGCTGGTTTATTACATTTATTTTGATAGTCAGGAGAAGGAAACCTTGAACCCTTAGCCTATACCAGAGCTAGTTCAAGTGAATTTTGCTACCCTATACTAGACTAAACTCCCCAAATCCCACCCCTATCCTAGAGTAGCTGTTTTCCAGAAACAACTGAGGCCACTTGCACAGTCCAGCCAAAACAAAACCGATTTGATTTTTTTATATTCTTGAGTGGCAATTCCTGGTTTCCCTAGTCTAGACTAAAACCTTCAGCCAGTTGATCAGTTTAAATGGAAAATGATAACCTCTTCTAGACCCAAACTCTCTGATTTATATACCCTATGCCAGAGTAAATTGCTTGTAAAACCATACACTTCACAGAGGCACATACCTATATAGCCCATATATGGCAGCAGCCCTCCCCCCCCCCCACCCCGGGGCCCCCTATATGGCCCTGCGTGCAATTTCATTGGAACACCATATGAATAAAGTCTGGTATGAGGACCATATGTATCAAGTGATAGGGCCTGATTGATACAGGTTCACTCCGTCAGAAAAATTCAAAAGCACAATGGTCATATGCTAAAATGCTTCTTGACTGTGCAAGGTCCGTGCGTCCTGGCTACAAACCAAATATTTTCCCATCCAACCATCCCACTCAGTTAATAAGTCCATAGTAGTTACTATACCTTTGGCTTAAATTTGCTAACTTCAATGGTAATGTACACCGAAGCAGTTGCTCTTGGGATTGGCTTTCTTCTGGTTGGTATACTCCACTTAACAGCATAGCGGTATCGCCAACTGTAGGGATGTTCTTCCTCTCTTAAAAAGTCAATGCAGTAAAGCCAGCTGCCGTCACGCTCCCATGTCTGCAAGATATTGTTCACTGATAATGTTAATATCATGTTGAATCATTGTTTTTATTGCCAAGCGAAATGAACATTGACAAAATGAGGATCTGTAGGCCCACATTCAAGCCTTTTCTTTCTCTGTAGACACAAACCAGAATAAGCTTCAGCTTTCTCAGCCCCACTGACTCATAGAGCACCTAATATTCTCAATAGTAATGTATTGTACAATGTAGAAATAGGTAGGTAGGTAGGTAGATTTTTTATTTAAAACTCGGTAAAATCTTCAGTAATAATAGAGTAAAAATCTAATCACAATTAATTAGACTAAAAACTATCGACATACTGTTTTACAAGACTGCCGAGTGAGAGTCCGACGACTCAAATACATGTTTGATTTGCTCTTTAAATTTCCTGACTGATTTAGTTTCTCTCACATTTTCGGGTAAAGAGTTCCACAACAAAGCACCGCTGTAACTGAAACTTCGTTTCAAGTAGTTAGTACGCGGCCTGGGCAACGTCAATTTATGAAAGGAATTGCGCAAATCATAGTCTGTGCTTCGTTCGTGAAATAGGTTCTGCAAGTACACTGGAGCTTGTTCATTTAGAGATTTAAACATCATTATTGCTTTATGCTTCTTTCTCCTTATAACTAATTTGTCCCATTTGAGTATATCAAGAAGCAGGCTCGAGCTAGTCCCATAGTTGGCCTTTAAAATTACTCTAGCTGCACGGTTCTGTAACTTTTGTAATTTGTCACTCAGTTGATCACTTAAGCCATCCCAAACAAGGCTACAGTAATCAAAGTGAGGTTGAATTAAGGAGTTATAGACTAGTACCGCAGTAGATTGGGAGATAAGGGGCCTAATACGTCTAACGGCACCTATAGCCGAAGTTACCTTCTTACACAATTCGTTAACATGATTAGACCAGGAAAGCCGATTGTCAATAATGAGACCTAATGATTTTGCGTGATCAACATTGCTGATAACTTGGTCTTCTAGTTTGATGTTTATTTCGTTATGGCTTTCCGCGAGAAGCTTCTGGCGAGAGCCAATAACCATAAACTCGGTTTTCGCAACATTAAGACTAAGCTTATTGGCTTTTAGCCAACAGTGAAGGTTCAGTAGTTCTAAGTTAATGAAGCTCTGTAGCCTGTATTTCTGTCATTCTTTTACTGGCAGTTTCTTTGGAGAACAGCAATGGAAACTTCATTGGGGGCGAAACCTATCCCACCAGATAAATGGGAAGAAGATAAGGAAAAACCAACTTCCTGATTTAGTAGCTAGTGCTAACTAACTACCTGTATAAAACAGCTGAGCTTTATAAGCGTACTTTAGGGAAAGTTCATTTAATATGACAAGGGGGGGATGAAGATATTGAAACTCGAACCTTGAAATTTTAGTAGCCCCCCTCGCTAGCGGTTCAATTTTTTAGGAGCCCCCTCCTTGGTAGTTGAAAAAATTTCAGAGCCCCCCCCTCCTCCTTCAATTCCTTTGCTCCCCTGAAAAAAGATCGCTAGACTGTATTAAATATATTTACCGTTATTGTCTTCAATGGTTTATACTATGACAAACTTGAGATACAGTTGTGATACAATTTTCTAAAGCATTTTTGGGATGAACAAGAGTGTAATAATTACTGAGACTACATTTGTTATATCTGTAAACCACATGATATAGCTGAGTTGCACAGGTCATTAAATTGTTGAGTTGAAAACCATCCGATCTGTATGATGATGTCATGTGTTGGTTTTGAAGTATACAAATTTTCGGGGCCCCCCCTCCTAGCGCAACAATTTTTTCAGAGCCCCCCCTTCGGGTGTCTAAAAATTTTCGGAGCCCCCCTCAATATCTTCATCCCCCCCTTGTCATATTAAATGAACTTTCCCTTAATACCTCAATAAATTCTTCAATCTTTTCTAAACCCCCTGCAACGGTAAAGTTATCCGCAGTCATCCATTTAATATTGGGTATCTCGTATCCAGTTTCAGGGTCTATTGTTGGTTCATCATCTTTTCCTTCAGGAGCTTCCCCGTCTCTTGCTGAAGAGCCACCAGCATAAACTGAAAAGCGCCGACGAGCATTTTCTATGGCTTCGTCAACAATTTCACGAGCTTCTTCCTCGTAAATTTCTTCAAGCGTTCGATTTCCTGGCACAACCGTGCGAATGATTCGCTCTGGCTTCTTTGTTGTTGTTGCAGACATTTCCAACGAAAGAAAAGAACAAAATTTTGATAACTTGTCACAGGAGTTTGTCCACCATGTCCACCATTTTGATCACGTCCAGTTTCCATGGTAACGATAGTCACGTTACGCATCCTCTTCTTTGGAGAGGCTGCTGACAAAGGGATTGCTATCAAGAACTCGAATGCCCTGGGTACAAGTGTGTTCCCAAAAAAATAAAATAGAAAAATATGTATTGTTTTTTTTTTACCTTCTTCATATTTTTACTTATGAAAACAGAAAGTAAGGGAAAAGAATTCTATGTTTCATTATAAACTGTCTATATATGTTTTAGTTTTTTAGAATTAAAGTTTTTTGTTTTTTACTGTTTTTTTTTGGCTTAACCTCGTTTCTATGTTGACTGTATCATATGTCATTTCTTTGATCCGATGAGCTTAAAGAACTATTCAGCGCAGAAGTTAGTAGCGATATTTGCGACACCGGAAATTCGTGTTCGAAGCATGACTTCCCTTGTAAATGAATGGAACAGTAGCAAAAATGTCTACTTTGGCTAGCGATTGTACTTGGTATCATGGACGAATCACACGTGAGCAGGCCATAGAAATTTTACTGCAAAACGGTCGACAAGAGGGACTTTTCCTCGTCAGAAACAAAGCTGGCAGAGACGACAACTTTGCCTTGTCGTTATGGCATGGAAATCAAGCGCTTCATTTCCAAATCCAGTGTCGAGGTGGGATTTTTTATTCCATAGACGATGGGCCGACTTTTGAAGGTTTAGATTCTCTGATTGAATATTACATGGAACAAGCCGATGGTCTGCCTACCCGACTCACACAATTCTGCGAGGGGAGTCCGCCCCCTGCTTCATGTAGAAAACACGGAGTAACAACACCACTGCATCTTGCCTGCGCTGAAGGAAATTACAGTTTAGTTTCTGGGCTGCTTAGTGGTGGAAATCAATCTGATATCAACACACGAAATGAGCAAGGGGCTTCACCATTGCACGAGGCTGCTTTGCTTGGCTTCGAAGACATCGTTTCTCTTTTGCTCAAACACGGTGCAGACACGAAAAGCAAGGATGACGAAGGGAACACGCCGTTACAGGTAAAAACATCAAGGTCTTCGTTTTCAGAAATTTATATTTTTCATTATTTGTCCTTCGCGTAATTCATCGGTTATGAATAGATTGAATGCACTTCCTTGTAGTAACCTGAAACCTCATTTTTAATAGATTGTATCCATGTTTATATCACCACTTGATTTCTCCGTGTCTATGGATAATACCAGTTTTCTGATCTTTTCGAAGTTTCTTCAAAATTACTTTTTTTTTACCATCTTCTGTGATGTATAAAAATGTATGAACAAACAGGGAATTCATTGAACCATGAAATTTCCTTGTAACTTAGTAGCAAATTGATTCAGTGGTTGTGGTTCTCTATGGTAAAAAGAATGTAAACAAACTGTAGTGTGCTGAAATGTTTCAGAACAGAAATATTATATACCTGCCGACTCACACGCATCATGTGTTTGTCACACACCTGCAGATCAAAGATGTCAATCATGCATACAGGAAAATTCCACTTACTTTTAAGAATAAAATCATAATTCTGGACTGCACTGCTCATTCAGTGTCTTGCTTGTTCTGTCATTAATTCAGGCGAATTGAGCCATGAGGAAAAATGTTTTTGTTTTTAACGTGATTGCTCTGAAAATTTGTAAAGAGCATCAGATATCATTCAGCAATAATATGAAATATTCTCATTTCTTTGCTGGTAACTATTACAAGCAAAATTAGCACTCAAAATGACCCTGCTGTTCAAAGTAAATTGATCCCAACTAGTAAAAAATTTTGCTGATATTTTTCACTGAAGTTTCTGGTATCACCTTTTACTGATAAGATAAATATGTCAGAGAAATTTCGGAGAAAGTTCGTAACTATAAGTCGTTCAAAATTCAGCTTTAAAATTGTTTTGGAATTTAAAAAATAAATTGCTCTGACGCAGAACGAGTTACTAGTTAGAATATTTGGGACAAGTAACTCTAGTGATGGCTTTAAGATATTTCTTAAAACAAAAGCCGATTGCCAATTGGGCTATTCTTTAAAAGGAACTTTTTAGTTTTAGGTGCACTATAAATTGCTCCAAACTTGGCTCTAAAGTCGAATGACTTGTTCCTCGACCTTTTTGAAATATCACCAAGCAGTTTTGGCTGAAATTCCTGCTACATATATTCTGATGTATTGCAATACATCTTCAACGGTGTTTACTACTATGCATTGCTTCTAATTCAAAAAACAGTCTTGGTTTTGTAAGTTACCTTGTATCTAAGATCAGATAGAACTGAAGAGCACCTTAGTTTATGACTACGAAATGAGTACAAGCGGCGTGTCCTGTGAGGAATTGGTACCTCTGCTGGGGGGACGAACGAAAATGATGTTCATGCAAGCAAACAGGATTATGTCACAATGCAAACTAAAAATATTGTCAAAAATACTAACCTTGTATAAATTCACAGCTCTGAAACTTTTTCTGACTCCTTTCTTCCATGGCTGGTTAGTACTTTTTCTTCATTATTATATTTTGCTTTGTGATGTACAGATTGGTTTGCAGGCATGGGTAACACTCTTGCTACTTTGGACACCGTACACAAATGAACTTAATATCTTTTAGTTAATTATTATTTGTAGCTACTTTATTTTCCTACTATGTACACTTATGTAAATGTCTTGTATAGTGTGAATAAAGAATTGAATTGAATTGAATTGGGTGAGGTGCAAATTCCTCATAAAACGGCCGCCCGTGCTTATTTTGTAGTCAAAAACAAAGGTGCTTGATGGTTCTATCTGAGCTCTGATACAAGGTAGCTTACAAAACCAGTACCTATTTTGAATTGGAAGTAATGCATAGCAGCAAACACCATTGAAGATGCACTGCAATACATCAAAATGTATGTAGCAGGTGTTTCAACCAAAACTGCTAAGAGATATTTCAAAAATGTTGAGGAACAAGTCATTCAACTTCAGAGCAAAGTTTGGAGCAATAATATTTATAGTGCTTCTAAAACTAAAGAGTACCTTTTAAAGAATAGCACGATTGGCAATTGCCTTTTGTTTTTAGAATAAGTAAACACTGGAATTACTTGTCCCGAAAATTTGAAGTGGTACCTCGTTCTACCTCAGAGCAATTTGTTTTTTGAAATTCTTATTAGAGTGAGGGGGCTTATTTGAGAGGGAGTTAGGGGGGAGCTTAAAAGAGAATTTCCCATAGCTTACTTTATTCTGTGATATTTTAAATTTTCCACAGTCGGCCTGTATTGGAGGACATCCCTCAGTGTGTGCTCTGCTTGTAAGGAAAGGAAAAGCTGATCTGCAGGACCGCTCTCCCCTGAGTGGATTGGTGGCAATGCATATAGCAGCATTAAAAGGTAACATTTGTTACTGTTAGCAGTGGCGGATCCACGGGAGGGGCCCAGGAGGCCCGCCTCCCCCCCTTATTTTTAGACCAAAAAATTTTTTTTGGAGACTGCCCCCCAGACAGAAAACATTTCAAGTTTGAAAGCTGTTGAAGCAAACTGTTGAGGTAAAGGTATCAGTTGTTATGTTTTTTTTTTATCAGCGTGTTCCGCCCATCTTTAAGGCCTTTCATGTTTACCGTGTATAAATGACAGAGTATCAAATTGGGCAATTCCAGAAAATATCCATACCCAACCACGGACGGCTTCCATGTTTTATCCCCCCCTTGCCTTCGGAAATTCCAAAATGCGTTACCCCCCCATGCCCTCAGAATTCCATAATCGTGAACCCCCCCTCCCCTTCAGAATTTCCGTTTTTTTGGAAGTACATTTTCAACTCAGCAACGCCTATATGAACAAACGAACATGAATTTATGCCTCCTCAAGGCTGTGATCTAGCGGCGCCAGGCGACAAGCTTTCAGACTCTAACCTACCGCTAGTAGACAGGCTGTGCAAACTCCTTTTTAGGTCCGAATTTGGCAACAAAAATAAACACCACTAACGGCAATTTTACTCCTCTTTGTTTTCTTGTGCTGTTTTGACGTTTACACAGCAAAATAGCTCAAATTCAGACTGTTAAAATCTTTCGGAGGTCAAATAGACCGTCGAGGCGTGCTGCGTCCTTTTATATGTCATGTAGTGTGCACGAAAAGTGTTCTAATCTGACAGGCGTTCCTTGGAAGCCAGGGACTGGTGCGAGTTTTTTTACTGTTCATCGGACGGGAGTGACAAGTAACTTGGAAGCAGTAAGATACATATTCCGTTTTTTTTTTTCATGTGACAAGAAATTCATCAAGGTTAATGTGAAACCCACGTTTTACTGTTCACTTCTATAAGTTATGAGCATAAACACGTGTCTGATCTATCGATGCTTGTCTTCTGCTTCCGCGGTCATACATTCGTGGTTTATTTACGAACTACAAAAGTCCACAACAATAGCGTTTTCAAGGAACTCGCTCTGCACTTTCTACTCCAGAAATCCCACCTGTGGAATTCCGCCATGCCTTCGGATTTCCAATCGTAAATACCCCCCCATGCCCTCAGAATTCCATAATCGTGAACCCCCCCCTCCCCTTCAGAAATCCTAAAAGCCGTCCGTGGTATGGTATGGATATTTTCTGGAATCGCCCATTGCTATGAAACAAATGCAAATTTTGAGATTTTTTTATTTTAATGATGACTTCTAAAACGTGTGGAGGTATGCAGTGTTTTTTGTTCGGTAGCTACGAGAAATAAAATTTTCTATCACACTCAGCAGGGTTAAAAACACAAAATTTCCAGGCTTGTTTTCAAGCTGTTTCCGAGAAAGTTCTTCGCTCTTTCAAAATATTCTCCTGTTACTTTACACTATTCGCCTGCTCCTACAATTCTTAATGAAACCCCGGCCTGCCTTACCTGTTTGTGCCAATATGCAAGATATTTTTCTCCAAGCTTTCAGCAATATTTTCTCCCTCAGACAGCACACTAGCTTGTGTGAGTTATTCTTTGGAGTTTTACAACTACAGAAATTCTTCTAAATGTCTGAAAATTCTTGCCATTATTATATTTTGTTGAGCAAAAAAATAAAAATTCAGATGCTTAAAGCTGACAAAGAGCTGCCTACAATACTGTGCACATGGCGATTTATCTACTGCCACCCCAAAATGGTGGCAAACCATTTCATTGCACCCAATACGAACCTGTTTTTTCATCCCATGCTTAGGTACAACTGACAGTAATCTATCTAGATCAATCTTATCTCATACATTGAGCTATCTACAATGTATGGGTTATGGGTTATTTCACATGGCTTATTACATTTATTTATAGCCCTCAAAAAGTGTAATAAAAAATGTAATATGCTTGAAATTATTCTGGTACAAGGTTTTTGTCCACTGAAAATAAAAGTTACTCAATCGTCTAATGGATTCCACCTTCTTTCTTTCGATAATATTTGTTCATTTATACACAAAGATACAGTGACAATAGTTTAACTAGAAGAAAGGTACGAGTAGCTCAACTGGAGTAAAATAGTGAAAAAGAAAAGAGCAGATCGCTTTATACATCAACATCAGCCACATACAAATTCTCCTGGCTCATCTCTATTCATACATTAGTTCTGATAATTTGATAAAGATCAAAACATTTCCCAGTTAGTGATTATTTTATTCATTCTCTTTCGTACTTTTCAACTTAATGTTGTTCTGCAGAAAATTGATGTTGCAGGTGACTCTTGGGACTCAAAGAGTCCTTAAAATATTTAAAAACAATAACCCTCAAACTGTGAAATGCAGCAAGCCACATCACACTTCAATTTGAAGTAACAAGTGAGTTTCATGACAGGTAACTCTGAATGTGTAAGGGTTCTTTTGGAACTCGGGGCTCCTCTTCACCCACGTTCAACGGAAGGGGACACACCCAGGGACCTCGCTCTTCATTATGGACATGGACACATAGCAGATATAATTGATAACTACCCAGTGCAACCTCCAAAGACCTCACCAAGGTTGTGGCTTCACGAAAATTTAGGAAGAAAGGTTTGTACATTTATGTCCTTACTTTTCTCACTCCTTTTTCACACAGCCTTCACCTCAGATGTAATCTAACCCCAAGTAAGGTGGCTGAACACAGTTTTGCGGGCAGTCAGTGGTAACTGGCATGACGGCACATGTTTTAAATTAGACAAGCAAACTTGGCGGTGAAAAAAGCAATGGTAGAGCTAGAGAACACCATTTCTCAAAATCTGCTCATTAAAATTTTGTGATATTTGGCAGAATTTTTAGTTTTATCGCATTTTAAATTATGAGAACTTTAAAATGGAAGTTGAACAGATGAATTTTGTGACACATAATATTATTACAGTACAATTATATTATTGATTATCTAAAAACCCGCCTGTTAAAATTTGGTCAAATAAGTTTCAAATGGTAATGATTAATTATAGTAAGCTGTGTGCAAGTTTATAGGAAAATATAATGAGCAAATTTTATGTAAACTGAGCAAAAGTGAAATTTCAATGTTGTATTCAATTGTTCATGTTTTCATGGAAACAACAAAAACGTCTTATTTTACCTGTCAATCATAATCTTTCATCAGTATATTTTTCACTTGCCAAGTTTCAGCTTGTGAGCTGCAACCTTTCTTTTGCCATCATTTGGCAAATGACGTACACTCACAAACTACCAAAACTGTGTTCAGCCACCTTAATAACACCTGTGATGTAGCACCGAGATCCTTGTTCTAGTCCCCCTGCATTCTCAACCAATTGTGGGAATTGCGCTTCAAATTTTTCTTTCGACCCGATTGGCTTATTGACTGGCCAATCCTGGTGCATATGGAGGCCCAGAACTATGATTTCAGCACTGGCTTTGGACAGCCTCAACCAGAGGTTTAGTTTTACATCCAACCCTTAGCATAAGGTAAAGTCCTTTCGAGTCTCTTCTCCTTAGATTACTATTGTGGCATCTACAAGTGTAGAAAATCAATCATAATATTATAAGTTATGCCCACTTCTCCCAAGAAACAGTTTAATCCTCTCCTGAAACATTTTGAAAATTTGAGTCACAAGCTGCATACTTGTATGACTTTCTGGGAGTCGTCACATCCTTGAATTTGAGCAAAACTTGCTGGTAAAAGGTTGCAGCTTGTCTACTGTATTTTACAGTAACGCTCAAGAAATACAAACAAAATTCCTGCTGTAAAAGAGAAAAAATAACTTTTTGTTTAACCCTTTGACTCTCAAGATCTCATGAGTAATTCTCATTTCTGGCTGCTATACATTTTATTGTGTATTAGTTAAAGGGGCTGTGTCACGGCAGTCCACTTCATTTTGTTTAATTTTGCCAATTACTCGCCCTCAATCGCTATGGAACTGAAAGTAAGCAAGGAAATTACATGTCAATGACGAAATCAGAGATTCGAGACAAACAAATACGTCTCCTGAGCGTTATTTTTGAAGTTGCAAACAGCAGATATAAACTTTGAAAAATTGTTAGGCTGAACAGTTTTCAAAAACCCTAATTTCAATCCGTTTCAATCTTCTTCAGTTTTGCCCATCCATGGCATCTGTGGTATCTGTTGTGTTATTTTAACCTTCCTTTAATGTTTTAAGTGGTTATTTTTATGTTTCTTTTAATTTAACGGGCATTTTGCAATTATAACCTGATTTGGCAGAATTTCGTGACACATTTTATTGTGCGTTAGTCAAGAGAATTCGGTTATATCTATATGGCATCCTTCAGTTGATAAATTTGCCACTTCTCATCACCTATCTGTTGGACAATGTATTGAATATAATATGGAGAAGTTATATGCCAATCACGTGTACTCACGGTAATGTTGTCTGGCATTTTGTTTGTCCTCAGGAAGCCATTGTACTCTTTCAGAAATGGGGACTAGTGGATGGTTTGTTCCTGGTTCGACTGAGCACGAGAGATCATGGATATTATGTATTATCTGTGGTTGTTAATGCACAGATTTATCATTATCAAATTAGGAGCAGGGTAATAATAAGCACTTAATTACTGGTCCTGAGGGAAACAGTTAATTTTGTTTCCTGAGAATCTCAATGATTCCCAAGACTATTGAGATTCGAGTGAAACAAAATTAATTGTTTCCTGAGGGACCAGTCTTTCAGTGATTAGTTATACAGCTGGAAATTTTGGAACTGGAAATTCATTAAACCTCGCTGTAACGGCATTCATCGGTCAACATTCGCAGGTAACAGTGCACTGTTACCTGCTGACATCATAGATTTTGCAATGTTGCCTACTCAAAAATTTTGGCGGGAAACAGTTTCATTGTTAGGTGTCATGTGACCTTGAAGTAACCAATGGGAGCGTGTCTTGTTGGGAAAAAATTTCCAGCTTTGTAACAATAAGATTTATCTAACAACACATTACACAAAGTAATGTTCATTGACAAAATATCTTGTTCTTGCTGGGATCAGAAGAATTTTATCAAGAGTATTTATAACTTTCCTGTTGGTGTAAGGGTGTCAAGTGATAAAATTGTTTTCCATGGGTACTGCTTACTGAAAATGCTTTACGCAATGGCTTTTAAACTGTATGGCTGTGGATTAAATGTGCCTTAAAGTAAGGTTGTAAAAGGTTAGTAATCCCTAATATAAACAAATATTTCTCAGTTTTATACTTCATCCTCAAGTGCACGTAAATGTTGTGGTACAAATTTAATCAAAGTGTCACACTTCAGCAAGCGTTGACATTTTAGCAATTAGGTTTAAGCGTTTATTTCAAATGGTTAGCATTGCTTAGTACACAGTTTGACAGTTTTTGTGGAAATCATGCATCGTGCGTACAAGCTACAGATAAGTCACTAATTTTCTAGCAGATAAGTTACAAATCTTTAGCTTTTGATGATTTCCAAAATTAATCTTAAGCTCTTAGCCAATGAGAAGACGGTCAATGAGTACAATGTAGATGTATAATAAATAGAGGATATTACATGGCCGGGCGCAGATACAAAATTTCTCTTCGAGTGTTGAAAATTACCGTAAAATTCCAAAAATAAGCCCCTCCATGTATAAGCTCCTCCAAATATAAGCCCCCCAAACCAAACGCAAAAAACCCTCCGTTAAATCGCCCCTCCATATATAAGCCCTCCAGGGGCTTGTACTTGGAAAATTGCCCTCAAATATATAGTAAAACATAGCAGAAATGGCACATTTATCGCCAGCTATAAGGCTAGCCCAATCGATTTTGAAACGCAAATTTCCCTCCGTAGATAAGCCCCTCCGAATATAAGCCCCTCAAAAAATAAGCCCCTCAAAAAGGGCTTTTGAAAAATATAAGCCCCGGGGCTTATTTTTGGAATTTTACGGTATTTCATGAGTGAGTGAAGCGAATGAGTGAAATATTTTTTTCAACACGAGAAGAGAAATTACGTATCTCCAAGCGACCATGTAATGTTCTATTTATTATATAAACACCAATGAAATGCCAAACCATTTTACTTGAACAGTTTTTTGGTCTGAAAGGTGCGGTTTATTATGAAGCCATAGCAATGGGGATATTTTCACATGTGAAGATAACATGTTCTTTTCACATGTGAAGATATCAAGTTTTCGCGCGAAAGCTCACTTGGTATTTCATTGGTGTTTATATAATAATATCTGATATTTGCTCTTTGACAGTGTGACAGATGGTTTTATATTGATGATGGTCCACTATTTGAAACTCTTCCACATGTCATTGACCACTACAGCAGATGTGCAGATGGTTTACCAGTTCTTCTTAAGACGCCCGTTCCACCCGATAGTAGCCCACCAAGAACTACTCAGAGTATTGCACCTCCTTCCGTGAGAAAGCCACCGGGAATGCGACCACCCACCCTTCCCTTATCATCCGCTGTTAGTACCCCCGTACTTAGCATGTCCCCTTCAAAAAGCCAAGTTACGACAAGAATTCCTCTGCAAAGGGCAGAATCGGCTGTAAGTGTTCTTTGTTTCAATACTTCTTCTTTTACACCAAAGATCTCCCAGGATCCTTAGACGCACTCTTTCAATACTAAGTTTTCATTTTGATAACAGAGTTCTAAGCCCCAACTTTTGGACACCAAGATGAGCAGAAAAACAATTTGATAGTGGGACTGGGTGGTAACCAATTCAGTCCGTAATCATAACAAAATCAGACAACCGCATAGTTGGAGTCTGGTTTGTTTAACCCATATATTTGCTCTCAGTAATTGTGCTGAAAGATGCATTTGGAAGGGATTTGAGCCATTTTCTGGTCACTCTGTGGGCAAAAAGATCCACACTGTTTTTACATCACGCACTACACTGCCTTCTGCTTCAAATGCTAAATATCAGCTTGTGAAGCTTGGGTATATGAAGAAGGCAAAATTTTTAAGTAGTTTTAGGGCTTGAAAGTGACACTACCTCTTCAAATTTTACCTTTCACGCTCCCTCCTCCCCTCTTCTTTCACTTTTCTTGCCCCCCTCCCCCTCCCCTCTAATCCTTATTTTCTTTTGCTGAGAATTTATTAGGCTTCCTTATGGTGGGAAAAGTTTTGAAAAAACGTTTAGGATCGTAGGATTAAATGGAAGAAAATGTAGCTGGGAAGTGGAACCAAATTGTTTGTTCAACTCCCTTGAATGCACAGAGGTGTATGTACATTACGTACATGTTACTCGTTGATTCAAATCAGGACGTCTAAATAATTCTTTGGGGTCTTCACAGCCTTGTTATGTCATAAACTATATTGAAACTGATTTGTTTTACCTTTATTAGGACTTCATTAACGGTGATTCTGCGAGGCAACCCCCCATGTCATTCAACAGGTCTATTAGTGAACATGGCTCTGATATGCTGAACAGCCAAGATGGAGAAAAGTTTAGTAAACTGGATGAAAGGCATCCCCTACCTCCGCCACCCATAAATCCGCCACCTAGAGGACAACGACGACCACCACCGCCCCTTCCACCTCCTTCCCCTACGAAACCATCCCTCCCTGCTCGACCTCCTGCACCTGGTATGTGGCTTGATAAAACTGCTTAGACCATGGAATTCAGTTTAAAATCGTACCTTATACCTATGAAAGCTCAAATGGACTTGCTCATTCATAGCTGTTTCCAGATACAACTAAGATCTTCTGACAAGAAGCTGTTATGCGTCTGCCATGGCACCTAAACTATGGCACAGTGAATAAGGACACTAATAGACTATAATGTTGTCGCTTTAGATAGCTCCTGAAAGCTCATTTATTTGGGGTGGGGAATATATCATTCCCAGATCAAGTATCTTATTTTCAACGTGTGTAGTGAGACATGGCCAATTTTCTGTTTACTTTATGTTTACTATATTATTTTTATTCCTATATTGTAGGGTAAGCCTGTGTATTTTATTGTAATGTTTCTCCTGTAATGTGCGTTTGAACAGCTTCAGGAAAACACGTGGACTATAAGTCAATCAATTATTATGATCATCAATATTAGGAGGCCATTGCTAGGGTTTTATTTACACTGGTTAAAATGATACTTGGGAACAGTTGAATTTTGGATTTGATGTGGAGTTGCTAACTCCATCAAAGTGGGTGATGCTATAGCACATACATGTAATAGCCTGGGGATTCCAATGAGTGTTAAAGGGGCTGTGTCACGGCAGTCCAGTTCATTTTGTTTAATTTTGCCAATTACTCGCCCTAAATCGCTATGGAACTTAAAGTAAGCAAAGAAATTACAGGTAAATGGCAAAATCAGTGATCCGAGACAAACAAATGTGTCTCCTGAGCATTATTTTTGAAGTTGCAAGCAGCCGGGATCAACTTTGAAGAACTGTTAGGCTGAACAGTTTTCAAAAAAACTCATTTCAATCCGTTTCAGTTTTCTTCAGTTGTGCCCATCCGTGGCATCTGTTGTTTCTCTTATGTTATTTTAACCTTCCTTTAAAGTTTAAGCATTTATTTTTATGTTTCTTTTAATTTAACAGGCATTTTGTAATTTCCTAATTTGGCAGAATTTCGTGACACAGCTGCTTTAACAATCGACATCACAGGAAAATTTCCAATCTCGTTTTTGTCCGATGACCAACTGTTACGTGTATTTACAGATCAGGCCCCATGCCAGTTATTCAAAAGGTTGATAGTACTATCCACTGGATAAATCACTATCCACTAGATAGTGCAATTGGTTTCCCTAACACTTATTCGTTGGATATTAGACTGATTTAGCAACAGGACGGGAACGTCAGTTGACGACGGGAAAGCGCGCGGAAAGGACTAAACACGACTTCCGGTGCCTAGTTTGCCGCTCTGCCATTGGTCAAGCCAGTTGTTAGTTTGCGCGCGCCGTCGTCAACTGACGTTCTCGTTCTGTTGCTAAATCAGCCTATTGATTCAGGGGCACCCAACGTCAATTTTCGGAAAATATCTGTTCGGAACGCGATTTGAGATCTAGAATTTTCGGAACATAATTATGTTGTAAAATTTCTTGCTTGCCTGCCTCTCCTAGGATTTTCGAACATCTAAAAAATGGTATAATTGCCCATTTTAACGGATTTTTACCCTAAAAAGGTCACCTTGAATTTGCGGGAGCCTTTTTTCTGGCTCAAATTTTCGGAAAGGTAAGTTTTGATCCCTATAATTTTCCGATCTCTAGACTTTCAGCTAGGAAATCCGAACAGATGAAAAATTTGTAGGGGATAAAAATATGCCTACATCTACCGTTTGAATACTAAAATACGTTTAACAATCCTATGTTTCAGTGGTTTTGAACTATATTCTCAATGGCTGCCCCTGATTGATTTATCTGGTGGATAGCGCTATCCAACTTTTGAACAACTGGGGTCCGTAGGGTGTAGTTACTAATGAGAGACTTCCTTCTGTTTTATATGTGGCAGGTCACCCCGTGCAGTCTCAACAGACACTAATTATGAGACAATCACTTGAACTCGGTGCTGAACTTGGTCAGGGTGAGTTTGGCTCCGTACTTAAGGGAGTTTGGACAGATCCCAAAGGAAAAAAGGTATGGTATTGTGCAGTGCAACTCTAATCTGTTATTTAGCTCTATATTTATTTAATTATTTGATTTAAATAGTTTTTTATAAGTACTGTATAACCTCCACCCACTTGTAACCGCTCTGTGGTAGTAGTCAACTCGAAAGCTTGGCTCCTTTGGCTGCTACACACTTTTTTCCTTTGTTATGTTTAATTCAATGTATAGTTAACTCTGTTTTTACTTCTTTTTTTTTCTTATTGTTGTTGTATTGTAATTGAATAAGTGTGAATAAATAAACTTGAACTTGATCAGTATTTCTCAAACTCATTAATACTTCATAAAGAAAATACAAAGAAAATTAATGTTTAATGAGTGTTTGGAAATCGAATGAAAAACTGCTCAGTATTTGCATCCTTAATTTCTCCTTCAAAAATGATTTTGTTTGAGAAGAAATATCAAACATTCGACACAGTGTTTCATCACCAGATGAAACACCTCGAAGTTCGTCAAAAATACTCCGCTGCGCGTCGTATTTTCAACTCTCTTCTCGGTGTTTCATCTGGTGATGAAACACTGCGTCTCATGTTTGATATATTACTTGAATAGTCCTGTACAGCTTCAGGTACTATAAAACAGGCAACAAAAATGTACAACTTGTTTTGCAACATTGCTGCAAAACTAGTTGAAAAAACGATGCTGCCCGTTTTAACACCCACGTTGAAACCAGTCAAAACAGTTTGCCATACGCCAAGGCCTTATCAACTGTTGCCTGAAGACCAAGAGCAATATTAACGCACTAAACTGACGAGAAACTGGAAATTTAACCAGGCCACCCTCATTAAAACGATGCTAGAGACGGAGAAGGAAAACTGAGCGTACACTCCCATAAAAAGACAGCCCTTATTACGGAACAACTCCTAAGGACCCATCGGGTAGCGTAATTGGTTTTTCTATACAGTTACTTATCCCAGGAATAGTGATTTATCCGCTGGATAACGTTATCCAGCTTTTGAACAACTGGGAACTAATGCGTATCCGAAGTCTTCTCACACACCACTGCCATATCGTCGTCACTAGTGGTGTAACGGAATTCGATTAATCGCGATTATGACCGTTCGGTTCGATTCACGATTCTTTCCTTCCACGTTTCGATTTTGCTTCGATTTTTGCATGCCTTTTCCAGGGTGCCCTCAGTGAATTATTATGTTTTAAAATCAGAATCCAGAACTCTTTTAAATGTGCGTTTTTGACTGACGAGCAAAGACGAGAGCCGTTCGTGCACCATTTTGAGTTGCCTGGAAAAAATGCTGTCTTCCAACCACCTCTTGAGAATTTCCAAATAAGGCAAACCATGTGCGACAAGCTATTTGTCAAGTTCTCAAACATGGCCACGAACCAAGCGACAGTGAATCCTCCGGTCCCTGTTACTGTTCTCAAATTGAGGGTTTAGAGTTGAGTTTAGAGTTTAAGAATTACGAAACATTTACATGATCGAATCGAATCGCAAGGAATATGAATCGTTACACCCCTAATCGTCACTAATACTTCTCGCTGCCAACAAACTTACCACCAAGCTAATCTGTATAAGGATACAAAAATTACTCTATGCAATGATTCTCTATTTCCCCTTATTTTTCCTGTTCCTTGTTAGGAGTATGACAGCATCTTATAGTATACTCTTTGGTTTGGGGTTCTTTTTAGGTTCCAGTGGCGTTGAAGACTTTACACCCTGAGAAGATAGCTCATGGCGAGCAGGTACTTAACAACAACAACAACAAAAACATTGTATTTATTTAAAGAAATATAAAGTTACAATACTTTATGTCCTTCAAGTAGCTATAATTCTAATCTAGGCAGGCAGGACAAGACTTTAAATAAAGACGTTATGAAACTACATAAGAAAAAAGAAAAGAAAAGAAATACAAAAACATACAGAAAGAAACACCTGACATATAATTTCAAGTACAGGGGATTTTGTTATTTGAAAAAGGCTAAAATTACAACTGGAGGTATATGCAACATATCATGTTAACTTCATAAAATATTCTATTAAATAATTAACATTCAAATAATTATCTTCATTACCTAGAACATTAAGGGGCAGTGATTTGATTTTTTTACGAAAATTAGACATGTTGAGAGTCTTAACAGAAAGTGGAATAGAATTCCAAATAGACACAGCAATTCTAGTAAAATTCTTAACTTTTCAAATATATCCCTGCTTGATCTCCGGGGTCACTTAGCAACATCTTCATCAGTTTTTTTACTACTGTAGACAGACAACTAAAAGAATTTACAAGAAATATGACTGTAAATAAACAATTCATACAGTAGTGGCACAACCAAAATAACTGAAAAGCTAAACTAGTTGGGAGACCTGAATTATGACAGTTGAAAATGTGAAAAGTCAAGAAAGAGGCACAGCAAATACAACCGTACGCATGAATGTCATTAACTTGGTAAGCAAGTATACAGAACAAAACAAAATGTCAGTAAAGAGACATGAACGGACACACGGGGACACCAAAAAATAAAGAAAAAAGCTGTAAGAATCTGCATTAAGCAGTGAACTAAACACATGTCACACACGCAGTAAGCAAAACACTTCCGCTGACGATGACCATTCTAATCGTGAGAGTTCAACGCCACTTATACAAGTCCGTTCTTACCCATGAGTTTGTATTCACAGGAATTTTTACGCGAAGCACGCATTATGTCGGGGCTGGATCACCCGTGTATTGTCCGGTTAATTGGCGTTTGTCTTGGCCCGCCTTTAATATTGGTAAGTGTAACTTCCTTTGTTTTATCTCTCAGTTAGCACGCGTGCTGTGTTTGATTAATTTTGCGATCCCCTTTACTCTCCTGCCCAGATCTCTTGCTGACAAAGCCGACAGGAGATTCGGTCCGCATTCTATTGTACTGCCCGCCAAATTTTAAAGTTTCGTTTCCCGCCTACCTGATTGATTAATTATTTTAAAAACTCATGATCACGGCGGAAATCGCGAGAACTGAAGAGTCACCCTCGAGCGGCGAGCGAAGCGGGACGCGAGGACGTGGCTCACTCGTGTGTGTCTTTGCGGGCAAAAGTGAAATAGAGAGCAATTATCCGCCACTATTTGGAGTGAAGCTTACAAACAGTAAACAATTATTGGATGAGGTTGAGCATGATATCATGAATTATCAAAACCGAGGCCTGTGTTATCTGCCGAAGCCGAAGGCTGAGGCAGATAATACAGACCCGAGGTTTTGATAATTCATGATATCATGCGAAAACCGAATTCAATAATTGTTTTATTATACATTTTTTAAACAATAGGCAAAAGAAGACATTCATCTGTTCAGCCATTCTGTTTCTGAGGAGAACACTCCAAGGGGCTTGGTAACCAGGCAGACGTTGAACTTGACATGATAAATGCAATATCTGCAGCAGATATTGCATTTATCATGTCAAGTTCACAAGCTATTGTGAATTGATTGAATGCTCACGACCAATCAGATTTTTCATAGTGAGTCTGATGTATAATAATCAAGGTTATTTGTTGCCAAAAATTGCAGTTATGTTTTTCTTTTTACTTTTAGGTGCAAGAATTAGTTCAGATGGGTGCGTTACTCGACTTCTTAATCGACCATCAACCAGAAATCACTCAAAGGGACCTCAAACTGTGGGCAGCTCAGATAGCTTGGGGAATGATGTACCTAGAGAAAAAACGCTTCGTTCATAGGGACCTGGCGACGAGAAATATACTCATGTCTACGAAACAACAGGTCAGATAAAGATCCGCCTTTTATTCTGTTAATTTTCTTGCGGGTTTTCCGCTTCCTTTGCACAGCTTTACAACATTTTCATGCACACGTTTGATAGACTAACTGTCTTACTGTATCATCGTTTCAGATAAAAATAAGCGACTTCGGACTGTCTCGTGCAGTCGGTTCTGGAAGTAATTATTACAAAGCTTCACAAGGTGGCCGCTGGCCAGTGAAATGGTAAGTCGTTTCCCATGCTGATGAACTAAGACAGTACCTCCTACATAGACCACTTTTGGTTCACTCTTTCGAAGCTCAGTTATCTGGAAACTGCGTGGTTCCTTGAACTTTTTTATGATTCGTTTAATACTGCGCTGTTATGACTAGACATTTCAAAGTTTTTCGTGTCAAACTCAGCCGTCAATTTGACGTCTCATAGATGACAAACCACTAACGGGTATCAGTAATTAAACCTAATTCTTCGTTCTATAATTGCCTCATTTTGGCATTAGGAACGAATCATTATAAAAGGGAAGGGGAGATGGGGTGTTTAAGGGGGGCCAAGCAAAAATCCATACATGAAAGGTTCACGTGGAAAACATGGATACAGCCGGAACAAGCAGAAAAAAAGTCATGCAAGCTTTAATCAACATATACCTGATTCGGTAAAGGTTGCTTTGGGGCCTTGGGCAATAAACCCCTTTAGCTTCACTATTTTTATATGGTCCTTTCCTTAGTTTGACCGTTATATTGATCGTATTTTGCTATTCCCTTGCGGGCCCACTATAATTCAAGTCTCGATTACGATAACTATATCAGTCCTTTCTGCGTTCTCAGGTACGCTCCAGAATCGATTAATTTCGGGACGTTTTCGCATCAGAGTGACGTGTGGAGTTATGGAGTAACACTTTGGGAGATGTACTCGTTTGGTCAGTTACCATATGGTGAAATGTCAGGGGGAGAGGTGAGTTAGTCGTTAAACGTAATCTCTCGCCAAGTCCCACGTCTCCCTAGCAGGTAGTCGCCGTGAGAATGAGGTATCGACCATTGAGATAGTTTTGGTTGGTTTACAAAATGCTGTCACTAATGAAGCAGTGTTCTAAGGACGTGGTTCAACGGCAAATTGTCGTCTTTTCAGTTGTTATAAACTAACTACCAGTTCGTAGCAAAAATTATGTATTTAGCACGAAAGTACTAACTGGGGACACTATTTTTACGTCTTTAATTGGAGAAGAGACCGCCATTTTACGTGGTCATCCGAGCCACGCGAAGGTCTTGCCGTTGCAGGGCAAATGTACTACCTTTATTTCTCAGTTATTTTAAGACCCTGAGTGTTGGTTCGGCCCCAGGAATCCAACCCGCGACCTCCCCCTCAGCAGTCAAGGGCTTTATCGACTGAGCAAATCCAGCCGTGGTTTATAAAGATGCCACCAACCCGCGATTAGGCGTCCTTCCTTCCTATGTCTTTGGTCGTTGCTCTTTACGCTTGCTTGCACCAAGATTTCTTTCGTTGGCTTACCAAAGGATTTCTACAGTAAAAATGTGATGTCCCCAGATTCCCTTCCGGATATCAGCCGCTCTAGAAGAAGCTTGAAGAGTCTGGGTTCATTTGTTTGCCTTTGTTTGTTATGTTTTGTTTTCCTGTTTGTATCTCAGACTAGTGTGTAAAAGTTCGCGCGTACTTGCTCAACTTTTATGTTCACGCGCCTCTATACGCACCTAAAAATTACGCGATAGTGGAAATTCTCAATACAGATACAGCTTATCTAAACCTTTTCAGAAAGTATTTATTTCTCGTGTCTCAAAAGATAGGAATGCTCACAACATCAAAGCGTCGGTCTTGCAGAAGAAACTGTCTTTCAGCTTATTCACTTCAAACCCTAAGGGCAAGGTTAGGTTACTACTAGCCTGCGAGCAAGCTTTCCGTGCGTACCCCCAAGCTACTAAGCAGTACTATTGCTGTTTATTAAGCTGTACAAGGTTGCTTTAACTTTTGATTGCAGTATGGAAACAATCCTAAGTTTGACCGTATAGAAACGAAACTCACGTAATTATTTTATTGTACTCCTTAGGTGATACGTATGTTGGAAGAAGAAAACAAACGACTTGAAAGACCTGAAGCTTGTCCAGAACACACCTATTCACTCATGTTGCAGTGCTGGGATTTAAAACCAGAAAGAAGACCCACATTTGAAGCATTACACAACATTTTTAGTACGAATCCTTTTTATGCAGATGTTAAACTACCGATAAAAGATAGAGGTGCAAGCTAATCAAACTAAAACAGTAATCATTTGATTGAAAACAGCCCCTCTTTCTTACTGCCTGTTTACACGGCAGTTTTTGCCGCGAGTTTTCATGATATGGTCACATCTGTACATAAGGGCGACTTAATGGCGATTTGTCGACGCATAACTTATTGCATCCAACCCTCATCGAATTTTGATTCAATTTGTTTTGGCGATGTTCCATTTACGTAAGGTGCGCTTCAAGGTAACTACTGCATGAAGATAAGAAAATTACGATAAAATCGCTAAGAACGCGCTGTCAAGTCGCCGGGAAATTGCAGCAGAAATCGCCGGAAAATCTTCTGTGAAAACGGGCCTTTAGAGCGGTTTTCACTGGAGTGTCAAAAAAATCTCTATTTTGCGCGACCTTTCCAGCCAGTCAGAATCAAGGCCAAACCACTCGTGACTTTTACGCGCGTTTGACGCGGGTTGCCGGCTGCGTATATATTTGCTTCCAGCTCTCATTGGTTAAGGATTGTCAGGTCAGTTCTTGATTGGCTAGACTAATGTGTTTCCTTGGATTAGCGACACTCCCGCGCACGCAAGTCGTCTGGCTGGCTGGGGATGCGGCAGAGACAAAAGAGGTGGCTGTTTGCAGTCCTAGTAAAGAGGCCCTTGGAATCCCATGTTATTAGACTGATACAAAAAGCTGCCCACCTACCCCTCCCTTAAGCCAACATTTTGCCTTAAGTGAGAAGTAAGTGTTAACGTTGGCTTAGGGGAGGGGTATGTGGGCAGTTTCCCAGAAACGTATAATGCCAAAAACGCATTCTCTCCTTTTCGAATGTGCAGTTGTTTTGACCAAGAGATAATGAGCTCATTCTCTCTTGTTTTGGCCTGGTGTCTTTTTAAGTGTAAACAACTTTCCATAAGTTGCGATGTTTCTTTTTTTTTCGCCTAAGAACGTGTTCTAAAAGTGTCTAAAATGGCAAAAAGGTATACGAAGTTTATTTTTGGTGTAATTTAGTGACTGTAAATATCGAATCGCGTGCAGTGCATGAAAACATGTAAAAGAAGTGCAACAAAAATCATTGTTGGATTAGTTGTTTGCGTTGTTTTTATCTCAGTTTTTACACAAATCATAGATTTTGTATCCCCATCGCGAAAATTTAGTAGAGTGAGAATGGAGACCTTGAGTCTGGGGAGCTTAAGCAACACCGACGACGACTGCTACAAAAACGTCACTTAAAAAGTGAGTTCGCGCTGCTTCAAACTTTATCGTGATTATTCCATCTCATTCATTTCGTCAAATGTTGGCGAATTTTTCTGGAGATGAATTCTAAAGGACTGGATCAAAATTCAGGAAAAGAAAAGGAAAGTCGTAGTCTTGTGTTTACGTCCTCAACAAAACGTGAAATAAGGCAGTTTCACGTCGTAGTCGTGCAACGACGACAAGGTAAGGTACAAAAAAGCGTGATGCACGTGCAGAGTTGTTATTTTGCCCATCTAAACCTTTTTTTTTTTATTGTTCTTGTTGCCGTCGTCGTCGTCGTTCCTTAAGCTCCCAAGACGAGGACGACTACGAGAACGATATTCTTCAGTACTAAGTGATACACGCGCATGAACCAGCGTCAAAATTGCCAGGAAAACGCCAGAAGTTTTATTATTTTGCGATCGGGAGAGGGCCTAACCTCGTTCAATAAAAATAACCGTGTTGACTTTTCCGGCGGAAAAAAGGTAAAATGAAGCTGTCCAGGGTGTCTATTTTTTGAGAATACGAGAATAGATAAATTAAATGTCGTAATCGTAGTCATCCTCGCACTCGAATCTTCTAGACTACGGGTGGTATCTTCTCAGCGTGTTATTTTTTCTCGTACGCGGTGAACTGGATACGCCTGTGAGGCTTTTAACACGTGATCACACGTTGACCGCGGACAAACGAGGGAAATTTACAAACTAAGCAAAGTACTTTACGGCTAAGATGCTATTCTTTAAAGATATTACCAATATACTGTCAATCAACGAGGTGTTTTGAAATTTTGGAAAAAAAATAGTTCCAAGCGATAGGCTTGATGTACTTTCTAATTTTTAGAGGGCGCTTGTGTAACTATGAACAACAAGTCTGGTATAATTCACTTCCGCACACGCTTACTATTTACACGACAATAGAATCCGGGTATAAGACTGTTCATTAAAGAGCCTTCTTATGTACTTTCTTATAGTTTACTTACAGTAGAAACTTTGCTTCACTTTTAACAACTAAGAGATGCCTTCAGATTCTCGGACGAGGACGACCAGGAGAACGATATTTTCTCGATACTTAGTGGAGCACGCGCATGAACCAGCGTCATTTTTGCGGGCAAACGTGATAGCCGTCGTAATTCTACAACGGGTTTTGGCGAGAATTTCGTAGGGGCGGAAACAAGTTTATATCGGGAGAGGTCTTCACTTCGTTTAATGAAAATAACCGTGTTAAAATTTCTGGTGGGAAAAAAATAAATAAATAAAGTGAAGCTTTCCGGGTTATTATTTATCTGCAAGGCAGGTTGTCCTCTTCCTCGAATCTCTATTGTGTACCTTATAGCAGTTTGGGGTCCTGTGGCTTAAGCACAGGACACCATATTTCGGCGCAAATCGCGCCAGAGTGTACGAGCTTCGTAGCAGATTGCGCTGATGGGTTTTGCTTTTGCTAGCGTACTTATATTTGGTTCACGTTTCTTAGCGTAAGATAAATAGCTTAGAAGAAGAAAAAATGTTGGAATTTGATGGTGTTATTCTACAAAAACTTTTGTGATGCGTGGTCATCATTTATTTAGGTAGGGTATTAAAATATTGAAAATTCTTTATATTCCCTCAATGAAAATTACAATAAAGTTATTCGATAATTGAGTTTAGAAAATGTGTGTATAAAAATCTGGATTAAGTTGATCTAAATAGAGCAAGTGAGCCCATGACTAGCAGGAACCCATAACCCGGACAAAGCAACTTCCGTCTACTCTTATCACGGTGCACTCACCGACCAGTTTTTTTTTAGAACGGTTCTGGCGCGAATTTAGAAAATCTTTTTAAGGCCAACAAACCAGTCAGCGAGACCTACAGGCGTGAAAATGATATATATATATATGTTTTTAATGATGTCTAATTTTCTTTGCGCTCATAGACAGAACGGAGCCGAGCGTCCATTTGTGCGGGAAACTGTGCTCTATAATGTGCTTAAAAATAAAATAAACAAGTCCGTGGTCATGGGCTCATGCTTACCCTCACTACGAGTAACTGATTCAACGAACTTATTATATCATTTGCACACCGCTTGGAAGCCTTGGGATGATTATATGACGTAAGGAGAATGCCTCTTCCCGTTTGGATTCCTATTAAAAATGTTGAGGCTGCGCGTGAGACTCAATCTCGACCCAGAGCTTTTCTGCGTATGTAGAGGAGAGAGAACATTCCTAAACCCGGAAACACTGGTGTCTCGAATTGCACTGTGGGACTGTTTTTGACCCATTTTTCAGCGAAACCTCGTTAACAGCCAATAAAAAGAACGACAGCGTCCCATAGTGCAGTTCGACTCAATACCAACCCAGTCCCACGCACAACTTCAAACTGACCAATGAGAGAATCCAGCTTTGATCTACAATTGTCATTTGATTTAACCTGTCCTATTTTCAAATGTCTTCGTCCAATAGCCTCTCCCTTAAAAAAGAGGAAACAACAACTCCCAATTTATTGTTGGAACGATTCTGACCGCTAGAGTTTCTTACTGATCACAGTTTACACTGAAGACTTCTATAATCAAACAAAACAGCCTTATGTTTACTAGCTTAGTGCTGATGTATTTAGCGCCAAGTACTACGACCCCTCAGTGTCGTGTAGATGTCTCACAAAGTTAATTTTCACGTAGTACGATCAGCTTTGCAGAATTCAGTGTGTCTACTAATTGGGGACATTTTTGACCATCCCTTCCTGAGGCGTAACCGCCTTCCTCCATGGCCGGTCTTTCGCGCTCCACGCCGGTCGTTGCTCACCTTTAAAAAAAAAAGACCTGTTCTGTGACCTAATCCTATCCGAGCCAAGTTCTAAGCATTTGTAGGACAAGGCAGTTGTTCAGGTGGCACCATCATTTCAAGGAGTCACCCGCAGGAGATAAGAAAGGTTATATGTGCCCAGTATTAGGGAGAACACTTCAAAAGGCGCTGAAGAACGAATTGAATTTCCACAATAAAATCTGCCACTCGGCATAGAATATGAGGCAAAGCTTGGGCTGACAATGACCTCTGAGATTTGAGGGAAAGGTAGTTTGCACCCGTTTGTAACACACAGAGATTGGTGTGACGGGATTGCGTGACCAGATGCTCTAACTTCACCCCTCCCCTGAAGTTTCTCTCATAGACTTGCGCAGTGCGTGGTAGGCTGGCAGAGCAGACATCCATGATGGCTTCTGTAAAGAAAAAGCAGGATGAAAAGAACTTGAAACTTCTCAGAGATCTCGCGGCCTTACCCCACAACAAAAAATGCTTCGACTGTGGGCAAAGGGGGCCAACATATGTGAATACCACAATAGGATCTTTTGTCTGTACCTCGTGCAGCGGCATTTTGTGAGTAGAGATGGCGTTAAGCTAGCAAGGTTTTTACGCCAATTTGACTCGAGCGCGCGATTAGTTTGCAGCTGTACGGTAAACACTCATTTCCTGTTCTTGTTTTTTCATTTTTTTACAGACGAGGATTAAACCCTCCACATCGAGTCAAATCAATTTCAATGACAAGCTTTACACCACAAGAAATAGAAAGTTTACAAGGCCAAGGAAATGAGGTACGCTTTACGCCTACTGCCTTTTCTTTCATTGTACAAGTTTGACAAGTTTTATATGTCTGAGTTACCCTTGAATTTCTTTCCTAATGAGACATTGGATAAATTGACAACATTTGCGCTCCTTTCAACGTTTACAACTCAGCTTTAACTTTATATTGATGCAAGTTCCGCTATGGGAGCACGATGTAACACCCCCAGCGTATTTTTGGCTGCATTTTACGTTCAATTTGACCAATATTTGCAGGTCGATTTGCGGTAAGAATGTAAACTAACTAACTGGAGTCCTTACATTCCATAAGACAACTTTAACTGTAGAAATTAAAACTGTTTGCCCACAAAAAATTAAAAATTTTATAATCGCTGCATTATTTTAAAATCTTCACTATTCGTGACTTAGCTCAATGTACTGTACTTGCTAAGTTGTTGAAATCTCTCGTTCGTGCCGGTCATTTATGCATTCTGCTGATTGTCAATTTTACATTGCAGTTACGTTGTCTTGATTGACTTCTCACAGCAATCTTTACCTCTTTGCTACTTTTGAGGATGAAACGACGTAATGTTCATTCAAAATTTAAGCAGGAAAATATCTTGGTGTTTGTGTATAAAATGGCGGGTCTCTAACGACTTGTGGTTTATTGTTCATTGGAAATCGAAGACAATGCACATAGTTACATATTGAACGCATGTTTTGGTTGTGACTTTGATAATTTTTGATTGATTCATTTCGTTGATCATCCCTTTATCAGTTCCCTATTAATTTTCTCTATAAAATCTTGAACCCTTGTCTGTTTCATTGAGCATGACCACACACATTTATTAAATATTTTGGCCAAAAAAAAAAAAACAGCGCATGAAGGTGGATGCATTATTTTGAGTCTGAACACTACAACATCATCAAAAAATTGACCAAAGCTGTCCAAGAAAGAACTTACGCATTTCTTCTCACTAATTTTTAAAAATGATTCCTGTCATGTATGGACCAGGACAGAAAAATTCACCTGCAGTGCAGCCAGACAGAAATAAGAAACAAGTGAATATGTGAAACTGAAAGCCCCTTTTTGAAACCTTTGCAAATGGAAAAACAAAAAAATGGCAAATTTTAAGCACAATATTGAAAACCACCTTCAAAAATAGCTGAAACTGCAAGCTTAAAACATCAACACTCTTCACGTCCCTCTTACTCCACCTCTGCTTATGTCAAAACCAGCTGATGAAAAATTCATCAAAATTCATCAATTCATCAAAATGTAAATAATTATATTTTACATTTTACCTGAATTATGAAAGGGTGTTATTTTGAATACTTATTTCATACTAACAATGAA